TAGCCCCTGAGCCTCCTTTTCTCCAGGCAGAACAACCCCAGCTCCCTCAGCCACTCCTCATAAGACTTGTTCTCCAGACCCCTCACCAGCTTCATCACCCTTCTCTGGACTTGCTCAAGCACCTCGATGTCCTTCTTGTAGCGAGGGGCCCAAAACTGAACACAGTACTCGAGGTGCGGCCTCACCAGAGCTGAGTACAGGGGTACGATCACTTCCCTAGCCCTGCTGGCCACATTGCTTCTTATGCAAGCCAGGATGCTGTTGGCCTTCTTGGCCACCTGAGCACACTGCTGGCTCATATTCAAGTGACTATCCACCATTACTCCCAGGTCCTTCTCCACCTGGCAGCTTTCCAACCACTCATCTCCCAGCCTGTAGCTCTGCTTGGGGTTGTTGTGCCCCAGGTGCAAGACCTGGCACTTGGCCTTGTTGAACCTCATACAGTTGACCTCAGCCCATCGGTCCAGCCTATCCAGATCCTCCTGCAGAGATAGCCTGTTGGGTTGTGCGTGGGGATAGGATTCAAGTGTGGGAGAGTAAATTTGTTTTTCTGTGCCTCTATTTCCCCATCTCTGACAAGGTTAAAGAGTTTTGTGGCCTGTTTTATAAAGTACTCTGTGGTCTGCATGCATCACAAAACTAATACCTGTGTCAATAAGACAACAATAGTTATAATGGTTAGGGAATACTAGTGATTTTTAGAAGCATGAGAAAAAGAAAGAAAGAAAAGCAAAGGAAAATATGTGTAAGAATAAGAAGCTAAGAAGAGTTGTCAGACTTCCCACTTCGCAGAAAACCTGTCTATTGATGTCCACTGTATGTTGATAATAGTATTGTTAATCTTAACATGCTGTCATTAGTAAAAACTAGAAGGGTATGAAGCTTCTGTAATTATTTTAGGTTGATCTTGGAGTATATTATTTTCCTGAAGCTAGGTAGCATTTTTATACTGCAAAGGATTAGGCTGACACAATCAGTTCAAATATTTATCCAGCCATTGAAAGGAGAAGTCTAACTTCTGCCTGTGATGAGGCTTTGGAAACCTCCATATCCATCATTGTTCAAGAGCTAAGGGAAGATTACATATTGATTACCCTTTTCGTTGCATTTAAGCAGCTTATGTGGAAAGCTAAATTCTAAGCTGCTTAAAATCCCTACTTTTTAATTTGTTCTCTGTCTTGTGTGCAGCAAGGCAAACCTTTGCAAGTTTATATGCATATACACACATACATGCACACATACCCTGATCAAAACTAGCTCCTTCTAAACAAGAATCACAATGAGCAGAGCTTAAAAAGGTACAAGTAGAACAGGAACTATCTTTCCCATTATTCTTCACAATGACGTGAAAACAAAAATAACAGAATGTCAGTTACCTCTAATCAAATTGTGGCTATGCGAGTAAATTCTGTGTTTTTTCATTGGTCTCTTGTTTTCTGTTTCTGCACGTGTCCCATCTGTGCAGGGAACATCAGTTGGTGTTTGTACATCAGTAGCTTGTATGAGCAAGGTATCATTTAACAGCATAGACTTACTGCATTAAGAGAAATTGTTTTGGATTTCATTGATAATGCACTGAAAGTCCATCAGGCCTCCTAGTCTGAAATGACCAGCACATTGTCTGAGCACTGATTGTCAGGGCATTTTGCCTGCAGAGAAACATCCTCTACAGAGAAATACAGCTCTGTAAATACTTTTGAATTCCTAGGGAAACTATGCACTGTGGAAAGCTTGAGGCACTTTTATGCAACCTGTATCATCGATTGAAAAGGAGCCACTTCAGAGCTATATTTGAAAACACGAGCTTTATGACTCTTCTACAGACAGTCCCAATACTAGTATGAGGAGATTTGACTAAGTAATTTCAAAGCTGGTAGATACTATGGTGGGTTTCCACTGTGTTTTCTTTCCCTGTGTGGTAAGCAGACATGACATGGAAGCAGACATGTCTGTGAAGTTCACAAAAGGCACTTGACAAAGTTGGGTACCAGTCAGTTTAAAGATAAATGGAGCCTCACCTTGTCACACAGTGGAATCATTTATTTTCACATGGCTCATAACAAATTATTTATAGCTATGGAAAGAAAAATAATGGAGATATAGACTGTTGCAATTTCTATGAACCAGTTAGACACGACATGGTTGGATACTGCTCTCTTTCAAGTGAAATGCAGTAATGCACTGCTCTCCATAGACAGAAATAATTTTACATGCCTTATCATTCTTGCTATGGCCATGGAAAGAAATACAGTGAAAGCAGAGACACTGATGCTGTTTGTGTTATTTAGAATGTTTTTTGCAGCTAACAGTTTTGACCTCTATTCTGTTTTGAAGGTCCTGGTTTCAGAAGGCCACGTCGTGTCTTCCAGCTAGAAGAAATGAGTAAATACTTTATTTTCCTGTGGACTCTCCTAGGTTTTACCCAGACCCTGGCTCAGGATTATTCCAAGGAATTGCTGGTGTAAAACTGATATGTTAGTGGAATTACAACAGTTAACAGCTTTAAATCTACCCTTTGCGGCGTAGGAGGTTTGATTTTTGTCCGTTGTGGACTATAGGGACCCCAAGAAGAAAGTTAGTGAGACTGGAACTTGTAATTTAACACATGAAATCCAGGGGCTGTCATTTAAAATATCAGTCCTTCAGAATGGTGTTTGACAGTCTGCAAGTAATTTCTGCTTCAAGCAGTCTCAACAGCAGAGTAGCCCAGAGGTCATGTTGTTCTTATGGGTAAGAGAGACCTTCTTCATGATGGATGACTACTCTGTGTGTTTGTGATGCTTAATATATTAGTAATTTTAACTCACAATTTCATTTGTCCAAAAGTTTTGTCATAGCAAGCTGAACTATAGTTAGTTACACCTGTGCTGTGAAAAAGGTTGTGGTGAGCTATCATAAGACCTATACCACAGTCTGCACATCCTAAAGTTAGGAGGCAGCACTCACGAGATTGGAAATGTCAGCCTGTGGGAATTGTGCCAACAAGTCTTACATTTTCACTGCTGATCTGGACCTGTGCTTGTAATCACAGCTGAAACCAAATGTGTTGCTGCCTTCAGCCTCATGATATTAGGCAAAGCAGCCAACAGTGTAATCTTCACCAGGTTTATCAGGTTGAGAACCTAAGATTATCTTTCTTGGCTATTCTATTTCAGTCACCAAAACTTGAGGACCACAGACAACAAACAAGACTCCAGCCATCAGCTCAGCTTGAGAATTCTGTTACCTGAGACACAAAGATTGCAGCTACGTTTGTGCAAAGCACTCAGGGCGTGATACTACTATAACTGCTACCTACCATTTTACCCTCATGCTTTTAATAGGATTGAATGCAAATGCCACTCCTTTGCAGAACCAGACACAAAAGCAGTAAGCAGCAGTGTTAGTTCAGAGGGTCTCAGAGCAGCTTTGCTTTCTCTTTTCCAAAAATTCAGCTTACGAACAAACCTTTATAATGATGTATGCTGCCCTTGCTCATTTGAGTTGTACACCTCCTGAACATATTTCTGTCAACGTCCATGCAACAAAGCACCATTTAGAAAAGCAGGCTGAAATTGATTCTCAGCTATTAGAATTTCTAGATTTACTTCCTCACTGCTCTTGCAGACATATTTTGCTGCTGATTGTATTTGACGTGCAGAAATGTGATAAAAACCATACAACACTCCCAGATCTGTAATCATGTGTATTCAAAAATGAGTGAATGACTCTCAAAGTCATCCTAAAATCAAGTTATTTTAAATGCTCCCTTCATTCACCAGCATCATGCATCTTTGATAAATTTCCATCTCCACATATTAGTTCCTAGCTTTGTGTTTTGCAACAATTCCTTTTTAAATGGCTAGCTGTTACCTCAAATTTTCAGAGCTTGTAAGAGACTTTTCAGAAGGAAAGGTCATTCTCCACTCATTTTTCTCAAAGATCTAATTTTCATTTTCAGAAGTGTGCAGCCAGGGCTCTATGACATATTTCTTCTCTGTATTTATCCCTAAAAAGACCTATATTATTGGCAGTATTCTTCTCCTGAAAACTAGCAGGCTTGTTTTTTGTTTTTTGTTTTTTTTTCTTTTGCAGAAAATGTGGATCCATGGTTTTATAACTGGGGGAGGATGGAAAGGTGCTCTGTATTTCAGATGAGGTTCTATGACCTATTATATACCTATTGCAGAAGTTTTTATAGAATGGAAAAGGGACTGGTCATTCCAGATTTTCCAAACCTTTGGGAGAAGCTATAGGGTGGAGGAAGTGGAGTCAAGAGTCTGAAATTCAGAACAGAGTCTTTATCTTCATGAGAGTCTTTATCTTCTTGATGGCTTTTTAAATTAAGAGCCATTGATCCTGTCCTTCATACATGTACATGGCTTTCAAATAAAGGCAATAGACGCTATGCGTTGAGAACAACTCAAGAGACAACATCTCACATACATTTAGTGTTGCTCTGCAAAAACATCAAATCAGAAAGGTTAGAGGTATGAAAATGGTTATTCAGTGGCACTGTGTTCATAGTGGACAAACTAGCACATAATCCTAAATGTGAGCAAATGTACCTCTGCATTTCTTTATGTAGTTATAATGGAAGTATTTTGTGATAATTCAAATCAAATATGTTTTGCTTTGTGTTTCTTTGTTGTTATTTCATTTTTTCAGGTGTTGTTAGGTTTCGATAGTTCCTATGTAAGGTGACGGATTCACATTACACAGCCTGAAGTCTTGTGTTAGGCACATTACTGAATCTACAAAGAAACTTCCCTAATTTTTTTTTTTAACTTGGTCATCTGTTGGTTGAGCTGCTGAGAGAAATACTTCTGTCTCCAGAACAACTCATTCATAGTTCTTTTGTAAGCTTTTCCAGAAAGGTTTGGGAAGGGATACATTTGACAAACCTGTTTCCTAGTGGGAACTGCAGCCTCCTTGAAGATCTGAGTAAAGTCCTATATTCCTGCCATGAAATACTCGAATTACAGCCATGAACTAAATTTTTGCCCATTCATTCGTTGCAGATATTGACGAATGCTTGGTAAACAATGGTGGCTGTGACCATTTCTGCCGAAACACGGTTGGCAGCTTTGAATGCAGCTGCCAGAAAGGCTATAAACTCCTCACAGATGAACGGACCTGCCAAGGTAATTCTTCACTTATTTCACTTTTAGGAAAATGAGGATGTTAATTTGTTAATTTCAACTGATTATTTTTTTTTTTGGGGGGTGGGGGAGAGAAAAAGAAGTAAAGCTTTTGTATTACAGATTTTAATCATACTGTCATAGGAGTTAAAGTTAGAAAAGACCTGCCAGATTTTGATAATCTAAGATTGGTTTAGAATATTTCTGGAAATGTCTTGTTTCATTGTTTTTAGTAGTAGGAATGCCAGTGTCCTGAAGCAGGAAAATCCCCGTGGTATAGTGTAATAAGCACAGGCAGAATCTTATGTTCAAATCCTTTAATTTGTTGTGATCTTTATGGAACAGAGGTTTACCATATTTACACTGGATTAATTTTGAGTAATTTACTGGAATAGAGCATTTGCAACAGTTAAACTGAAAAAAAAAAAGAGTGTAATATATGAGCTCACCTTTGCCTGATAGAATCTGCTTATGGAGCAATCATTGAAGGACTTTTGTGGGAATTCATATGAAGTATGATTTATGTCATGTTTTGTGTGTGTGTGTCATGATTTGTTACCTAAGTCATATAAAATTATATTTTCTATGACCAATGACCAATTAAGTGCGTAAGTACTTCTCATTTCAGTACAACAACCCATGTACATTTGGAGAAATTACACTTTAAATAGAGAAAAGGAAGGAAGTATTCAAGGATTTTTTTTTCTGCGGGGGTTGCCTTTTTATTAATTATCTTCATGGGCTTTGCACATGTAAAAATTATGAAGTCCAGAACAGCATTAGTATTTTAGAGCTTCTTTGTTCATCAGTAAGGGAGAAACAAATGTCTGGAGATACATACATCATTCAAAAGATTTTCTATTGATTCTCATTGGTACTTCTATTATCTGAGAAGTCTACTCCACCCTGAGTGTGTGGTTAGCCACTGAGGAGTCAGTGCAAGGTTGGCTTCATGCTGGGACAGGATGGGAAAAGCTCAGACCAGAACCGTGAGTTCTATGACTAGACAGAAAAAAATATTGTTGGGTCATGTCAGACAAGGATAAGTTGTCAGGTTCTGATACACCTGCTAAAAATAGGAACAAAATATTAAAAAGAAACATTCCCTTCATGATGCATCTAGAGATAGTTAGGAATAGTTAGAGATAGTTAGGAATAGTTTCTGGTTCTTGAGTTGCTTGTATCATGACAGTTTGTCACTGCAGTATTAGCCACAGGTGTGACACTGAAGTCATTGTAATTACACCAGGGAAAAACTTGTCAATAAAGTTGAGACCTGCATTCTTGTTAGGCAAGAGCAGATAGAAAATTTATGTGTTCATTGTTCAAAGTCTTGGTAACAGACTTTGAAATCTGCCTGTAAGTAATCAGTTATTTCTTCTGATGAAGCAGTTCTGTAAACATTGTTCATCTGAGTTTTGTTTCTTCATGTGCCTGGGCTGCTGAATGAATTACTTGCTAATGACAGTATATACTGTGCAATGAATGAAGCTGTAGCTGATCTTCTCATCCTCATGTGATCAGACAAGAATTGTTGGTTTGGAAATACAAACATGACCTGGCCATCCTACTTTTGCCATTGTCAATGAACAAGGGCAGGCACTCTGTCTGCCTCTATGTGATACTTTGACTGACATGTTAACTGTAGCTTATCTGCTGCTCTAACAGCCTGATTAGTGCAAGCCCAGAGAATTCTTGCTCTGGAGAATTGCTTTGGTCCCAGAAATGCTGGTCCTTCATAGTGTGAAATTTGGAGGACGAAGTTATTTCCTGTTTGAAGTCTGAGGTATTTGGGCCCCAGAGACTGATTATAGCAACTATGGTATGATGCCAGCTTTGTGGAGGAACCACTGCGATAATTTTGTTTCTGTCTGGTGCTTAAGGTGATAGTTGTTGACTTAGGGAAACAGAAGGCCTGCTAACAAAGAAAAAGGAAAAGTGGATATAGATCAAGAAATCTGATGTATTAGTCACTTATACTTTGTTGCTTCCCCTGCAAAGGAGAATTTGTCAGGTCTGACGGGAAAATGTGGTTGGGGGTTAAGTGACACTGCTGGCATATAAATCATCCATGTTTTTTTCTGGAAAAATAAGAATTTTTCTGGTAATAGGCAGTCAACACTGACCATTACTGAGAGATTCAGATAAATTTATTTTAAGTATATTAGCCTTTTCAATGAGTGAATTAGAGAAGTTTAATCTGTCTTTATAGAAGATGCTGTTATTTGTGTTATATCTGTTATTTTGATTCATAAGAGAGTTTTTAGGACTTGTGATGTTGCTGTAACATTGCCTTTCTCCTCTAATTTTCATTTTAAAACTAAAGACGTCTTTAAGTTACAAATCGATGTGTTTAGCAAATACTTACTTAGGACCTTGGAAGTGTATGTTGTTTGGGGTTAAGTCCTATTTAGTTCAGATGGCCTCACTGGTGTATAAGGAGTTCATCTCCAAATGAGTCCATCACTCACATCAAGGAACAGATCCTGCCAACATTAAACAAAATACCCATGGAAGCAGTTGGTAAGCATGCCCTTTTAAGACCTGCAGAATCCCTGTATAGGTGTGTGTGTCTGGTTCATGAGAAAGAACCTGTAAAGAAAAAAGCCACAGAGACACAGGTTACATTAGCAACATTTTTCAAACTGTTGGAAAATACAAATAAGCTGTTGCTGCATAACTTTATTCATGTAAATGTTAACTTCAGCACAAGGCAACTTTACATGCTTCAATAAAAAGGTTCTTTCCATATTCCCTGTGAAACTCAGATTGTCCTATCTCACCTCATTTCCTTGGTGTCTTTCGTTGTAGACCTATGTAGACCCATTGTAGAAAGAAAGAGCCAACTTTAGGATTGTAGGGAAAAGTCTCAGACTTTGTTCAGGCTGTTTGTATAGCTCCCGCCCCATTGTACCAAGTGCCTTACACACATTCATTATCTTTGTGAAGAGGAAAGTATTTCTCTGAGTTTTTCAAGCCCAATATTGTAGCTTGCCTAAGATCACATATAGGAATGCCTGGACAGTGCAGACAATTTTTTTTCTCAAGTTTTTGTTAATCTGCCCTCTTCCTTCATTACAAGAAAAAAGAAAAACAACAACAAAAACTCTTGCATTTGTGTTTATACTCTGCTATGAAAATTCATAATTTTTCAGTAACTCTGAAGCTTGCTGATCAGTTGGAGCCACTGGCTAGCCACCTTGCATGCACAGGGCTTGTATAAGCAGCTTTTGCATTTGTAAAGGGCATTAAAGTGTTCTGCATTTGCCTGTTTACAGCTAAACCATTTTTAGCCCTGGTTGCAAAGAAAACTATTGTCAATCACAGATTACTTCTGCTAGGGAGTGGTTCTCACGCTGGGGCTCCTTGTTAGACAAGGAAAATGTAGGGGGTTTCTCTTCCTTTCCCCTCCCCTGCATTCCAACCATTTAAAAGGAAACTTATTTGTAACCCAGAAGGTGAAGAATCCACATCGCCTTGGCAGCAATATTGTGGAGACTAATACGACTTTCCCAGAGTCTCTCTTTTCATGCAAACTTAAAATAGATTTCTTTTTTTTCACCTTTAATGCTGAAATCACTGTTTGACAATACCAAACCCATCTATTGTGTATTATTTTAAAAGATCCCTTAAGCCTAAAGAATTGTAAATTCATTGGTATGGAAAGAAACCATTGGATCTGTTTGTATAAACCTTGCAAAAAGAGGCCTGTGTCTCCTTTGAGCATTTAATACAAATAATGTAGCTATATTTATAGCAAGGAGAGGTTATATTTGTAACCTTTGCAGTAATTAACAGCAGGACAAGAATTCAGATTAGTTTTAGAATGACATCAGCAGCATAACATCAAGCAAGACTGCTTAAAGCTGAATGTGTATAAGTGCAGACGTAATTACCTTAATCCTCAGCCAATATGAGTTTTAAAGCCATTTAACTTAATTGCTTATTCAGTTTCTGTTTGTTGTGTAGTGATCTTGAAAAAAAATCAACAATAAGCATTCTTTCTGCTCCACTCAAGTCCAAGCTTCATTAAGCACCCAGAAAAATGTGTGAAATTCTATCATAAATAATTTTCTCTTCCTGCTGTAGGAATTGCCTTTTGCAAGAGAAGACAAGGAGAGACAGCATGCATTTGTCATAACTCTCCAGGGAGTCCATTTGTTGTAACTCTCCATTCAGAAAAAAAATAAAATAAAATAAAATAGTGCTTTTAGTGGGAACATGCAGTGAACAACATGCAATACTTTGGACTGCTAGATCTACACTCTGCTCCTCTGCCCCTCTCTAACTCTGCCCAAAATAGAGCCAAATCCTTGTATGCTGAGGAATTTAACCTTCTGCAGGAGGCAATTCAAGGCATTTGCATCATTGTAGTCCACTTACAGCCTCAAAAGCAACTTAAGCGGGGCTTGATGATTGCTAGATCTCACAGACCATAATGAAATCTGTCCAAGTAGCCATTTCACCAACTATTTCAATCAATACAGCCACTGTAAAAGGAGATGATTGTCCACTAGGCAAAAATACCCCTCTGGCATGTGGAATACCTGCACAAGCTCTCTGGCATTTCTACAGCTTCTTTAAAGCTATGTGTTCACAATCAGTAGTTGATGGCATTTTTTATTCGCTTTGACATATTGCCTGTTTGATTGTTGATTATTCTTTACTGCTTTCCTACCAGATTTGAAATGAATGCAATGACTATTTTATAACTAGGTGTTGGAATACAGTGCCTCATAGTCTGCTATTGGTAGTACTGTTGTCTAAAGGAAGTTCAGTGATGTCAGTTTATTCAACAGGAAATCCAAAACAAAATTTGGCTCACTAGCTTCATGATATATTGAATTTCCCTTCTAGTAATTTTCTGTGGGCACATTTTGCTAGAGGTTTGGGGTTTTATAACACTACAAAACTATCCAGTAAAAGCCTAAGTATAGCTGATTTGTTTTGTTGTTTGTTTGTTTGTTTGTTTTCTTCAAGAAAAACAGAAAGATGTGAGCATATCCACTATCATGTTAATGTATTCGGACTTGTCTTTCTTTCTTTTAAAGTAATGTGTTTCTTATGTGCCCTACTGTATCCCACCTTCCCGTCTCCCCAGCTTCACTTCCAGACAAGTGTTCCTCTAAACTTGACACTCATGGAGTGGAGCAACTGGAAGTGATGGCTAGAGCCAAGTATGCTGTGAGCAGATGTTAAGGCAGTTTCCTTAGTAACTGCCAGCATATCACAATGCTGACCTTTGAAATACTTCAAACATTGCCCAACTGGTGGTTTTGGGTTTTTGTGTTTTGTTTTGTTTTGGTTTGGTTTGGTTTGGTTTTGTTTTGTTTTGTTTTGTTTTGTTTTGTTTTGTTTTCCCTCAGGTTGTCTATGAGCAGGCTTTAAATAAGATTTGAACCCAGTCTTAGGGCTGCTTTGTTAACCCATACACCACAGAGCCATAATCCATGCAGTCCTAAAATAATGCTGTCAAATGAGAGACCTTTTTTTATTGCCAAGTAGGTTTTCTTTCCAGAGAATTTGAAGTGATTAATTTTAGCTGACCTTATGAGTGATATGTGGTAGAAGGATGCTTCACGTAGAGCTACCAATGGATAATTGTCAAGAGATACCTTCTTGCATTTCAGAACAAGAGAAAGAAAATAGCACCTTGAAAAATGCAGTAACTGTCTATGATCCAAGGGTCACACAGACCTGATCTTGAAACATTGCCATATTAACTGGATATCTAATCCCCCTTAATAACATCCATCTTTTCACTTAGTTGTACAAAATATGCACTATTAGCCTTCCAAGGGCAATCTCTCGCATGGTATCTCCATTTTGAAAATGTGTGTGAAATGAGAGATTAATCATACAGGGAATGACAGATAGAAAGTGTTTGTGGGAATTATTTTTGGCCTAAAGAAGCCCACAAAGATTAACTACAAAGATGTCTCTATACTCTTCTGTATGGAAGCATTGATAATAAATATGGCAGTACAGAACCAGTTCAAACTCAAGTAAATCAGTGCATCCACATCAGCAGCACTGACTCACCAAGTATCTTGAATATAGAGGGACCAAATTAAAAAATAAAAAGGGACCAGAGATGGTTTTCTTCACTAGGTTACATGACAGTGACCTGCCACCCACATTTGATCATATAACCCAGTAAAGCAGTTGACCTTGTCCCAGTCATGTAATCTGATGGAGGTCTCAGGATGAGGGTACAGCCCTTGCATTGATTTATACAGCCACCAATCTTAAGTTACTTAACTCAATGCATGGGTAGAGATAAGGGCTGGAGCATCTGTCTCTCTCTCTCTCTCTCACTGCACTGTGAAAATGGAAGACAGGGAGAATCCCGAGTCCTGTGCCCCAGTTTTAAAAGCCTGAAGAAATTCCTTGTACCAGGAAAGGGGAATTTTATGCCATGACTCTCCAAGCCAAGACAAAAGTCCTTTTTACCTTACTGCTGCTCCTATAACTGTTCTTGTTCTGAGTAGCTAGATGAATAGCTGAGTATATCTATCCTAGTATAGGCCCAGAGACATTGAGCTGTGGGAGATTGCAGATGGGTACAGCTGCACCATGCTGTAATTGCACACATGATGAAATTTTTCAGCTAATCTGTATTGGTGCTAGAACTTATGTTTCAAGTAAGTTAATTTAAAATACAGTGGTTGAAACCCTGATCCCTCATATTCAATGGATCAGCTTCACAGTTTGGCTAACTTACCAGTGAAAACTGTTATAAAGTTTTGTTCTTGTTCCACTCTTTCCTTTTCTTTCCTACTAAATAAACAGAAGAAGCCAATGTACAATAACAGGAGCATTATTTACCCTGTCCCTTCTTTCTGGAATGGCACTAGCAGTACTGCTCTGTTACAACTTCACAGCCAGGCAAGAGACATAAAGGGGACAGTAGCAGAAATATTACTTATTTTTTGTTGCTGTTTTTTTGTTTGCTTTGTTTTTTCTTAATATTTAAAATACATTTTTACCTTAACCCATGCAAACCTCTCTCTCAGAGGTGTTCAGGACTGGACTGCAGCCAGTGCAGAGCATTAGTAAGCCTTAAGGGTGCTGCTCTCTGTGTCCCTGCAAGAGAAGGCAGCAATGGGGAAGAGGAGCTAGCAGGCTTACAAGTCCCCTCACTGACATTTGCCTGAGTTTGCATGTGCATGTGTGGTAAGCTGTAGGTTTTCAGCAGATAGAGAAAATATCCAGGGCTTCCTTTTGCTCTCACTTATATAAGTAAGGCTACCGTACTTGGCAGACTTCTGTATTCACATTGCAGTCACACTAAAGGAATCTGCTGGTCCTCATTGCATTAAACCACTTGAACAGGGTGAGTCAGTACCATGCAGGGTTGACTAATGAGAGAAAGGGATGAAGGGACACAAGCCGTTTGTGTATCAACACTCATTTGTGCGATACACATGAAGGAGAGTGGTTTTGCCTTGATGCACCTGTCCTCTCACCAACATAAGATAGCCATGCTGTAAGATACAAAATACATTTTCTTGATTAAGACTGATTTGCAGCCAATCCAGCTAAGTCTGGCCCAGTATGTTTGATTCTATGCACACGTGGCATACAAACAGCTGTGCTGGTTCAGCTGCTGAGGCAGGTCGAGAACCAGGAAGAATCTCGAGTGCTGGAGGCGATCCCGGGAGCTGCTTGTAGAAATCAGTGTGTCTCACAGAAAGAAAATTTGAGATGACTTCCCTGTCGCTGATCATGTACATTCCCTATGCAGATTTTCTGTAAGGCACTGTGTGTCACTGAGGCTTGCAAAAATATCTTGCCTATGACAGGCACCATATTGCTTCTAGCATCAGGTTAAAAAATACTCTGCTGGGAAGCAATATGTTACACTGTCAATAAAAGGAATACATCTCAAAACCTTTGTTATACATGGTGCTTACTCTTGGTGTCAGTGAGATTGTGAATAGTGGTACAGTCTGCCTCTGTGAGAAAAAAAGGGTTGCAAGATCATACACAGAGATCATAAATACCTCAGGCATAAATTATAAACAGTTCTAGCCAGTACAAGTTTGTTTGCCAAGTGATAGTATCTCCCATGTTGGTTGTAGCAATTATGTCTGCTGAAACATGAAAACAAATACATACCCCCCCAACTCCAGCTCTCCTCACTTCAGCACATACAGATTTATCGTTAAATGTAAATTTTCTTTGGTGTCTGCTGCTTAGAAGGAATATTAAACCTCATAATCTAGGCTTTAAATCAATTTCTAATGGGATGAGACCTAATGTGGGGAGGGCAGCTGGGGCAGGTTATTCCACCTCTATTTTCCCATGAAGTTTCTGACAAGGGCTACTGTTGGAAGATACTAGATTAGTTTGACCTCAGGTCTCATTCAGTATTGCAGCTCTTATACTCCTGTGTTAAACTCTGTAGTGCATATTGCTATCAAATTGCTTTCTACAGCTCTGTCTGACCCCTCCCCCCAGTGATGTTGTGCATGGGAAGCCAAGCAAAACATTCCGTTAATGTTTAGAAAGAGAATTTGAGATATGTTTTTCATTTGATGCTGTAGGATTTAGTACATGCATAGTGCAGAAATGATTTTACTGGACTTAAATCATATTATGTATTAATGAATTACCAGGATATGAGTCAGCATTGGAATAGTTTGAGCAGGAAAGTAGCATTGTTCCACAAACAATAATCTGTTGATAAATAGTGGTGAAAGCTGTAATTCAATAGGAATTGTTTTTGAAGAGAACCAGAGAGAGACTCTATGGATATATATTCTCCACTATTGCAGTGGTGCACCTTGAGATAATGCCATGTTACAGCTCTCACTCATTTAATCACCTTAAGGTCAGGAATCCTTTACACTAAGTGCTGTACAGAATTGCAGGAAAATGACAACCCTATCCCAAATGTTCAGAGGAGCTTCATCTTCCTGTGCTTGTTTCTACCCTTCTGGGCCTTTTAAAAGTGCTCAATTTCGTTTACTTTTTTTCTAATGAGAATAAAATCCCTTAAGATCTTAACTCATTTAAGCAAAGGAGTGTGATTTTCTTCCAGAAGCCATGTTATGAACTACTTGTGTTGATAATTTTCTGATGAGCCCTGTGTTAGGACAGGTGAGATAAAAACAAAAATTTAAGCTCTAATACTAAGAGGCAATGAGATGGAGGAGTATTTCCTGGGTTATTGTTGGGTGGAGGGTTTTTTTTTATTCGTATTTGCAAAAAGCTTCTGTTCATGTTTTTGGAGTGATACCTGCCATTCCTGGACTCCCTGGAGGCTGGCCTTCCTTGGTGGAAGTAGTGGCATGAAGCAGAGCACACATGAACAGCCCAATGGAGGGTACATTTTTCTGCGGGCACAAGCCACAACTCATGGAGCCTGTGGCAGACCATGAGTTGCAGGCAAACAATCAGCAAGCATGTGGCAGAGACAAGAAACTGCCTCTTATCATGGCCTCTTCTGCTTTTCTCATTGGCTTACAGAGGCAAGCATTGTTTCACCTCTCCACTTCCATATGCCCTCCTCCCACCTTGATCTGATCTTTAGATTGAGTGCTTGCAAAGAAGAAGGTGACTTGTGCTAGTTCTGGACCTCAGGACAAGGTTTCTAATTACTTTTTAAACAAGCCTTTGAAGCAGAGGCAGAGAACAGCAATTATTGTTTGTATTAATTGGCCACTGACTTCACTGGGAGCTTGAAGTAAGCTAGGGATGCACAATCAGAATGACAGGAGGTGAAGTGCAGCATTTGATTTTTCAGTTGAAAGCTGAAACTGTTTTTGTACTTGCTCTTTCAGCACCATCAAATAACACTAAAGCAGATTTTGACCCAGAGTAGCCCCTTATTCCTTCAAGAAGTCTCACTAGCAGCTACTACTCAGCGGTGATAGAGACAGCTTGGCAAAGAGAAGGTCTCTCTTTCCAGAAATATGTCTAAAAAAACAAATGTATTTCAGGATGGAGGGAATATTCCTCACTTGATACACAGAGGGTAAAACCTTTTTTGTTTGTCTCATCAGGCTGTTAAGTTGCTCTTACAGAGTTGCTGTGTAAATAGTGGCTTGAGCAGAGTGCAGACAACTAAACATGTTTATATTTGTAGGAAAATAAATAAACCTGCCTGAAGTTTCTTTTAATGCATTTCTGCTGTTGATATATGGCTTTTCCTATCCCAAACACTTGACGCGTAACACAGTTTATTGCTGTAATAGCAGTAGATAACTCAATTTGCCTTTGCCTTGGAAAATGATTGATTTTGGAAAAGGATATGTTTGTTTATAAAATCTTGGCAATGATCTGATGAAAGTACTTTGTTTTCTTTAAAAAAATGTTGGGAAAGTAGTGACTTTAATTGCATTTTAGATTGTCCTAGCAAAACAATGGTAAGAGGATAAACATAATAGGAACTAAAGCCAATTGCCTCTTACTGGTTTCCTCAGGTTAATAGAGGAGCCTGAGCACAACAAAGCCCTCATGTAATGGAGAGGAGCTGCAGGGTGGGAAAGAGCTCAGACAGGTAAACATAGACCCAAGAGCAAGGGCTCTGTCTCAGAAATCTACAGGCCATCTAGCGTTGACTCTATTTCAGTTGCCAATATTAAGCTCATCACACAGAAACAGTCTTTTGCCTTCTTGTCTCTACATCTCTCCCTCTTTTACCTTCTATCTCAGCAGATTCTGCCCTCCAACAGCCCTCAAGGCTTGGAGGTCCTTATGTTTCCACTAAGGATTTTGTGTCCAACTGTCACATGTAGAAATGCCTGTACAAGCTATACAAGCAACTTGACTCAAGTTCTTTATTGTCTTACCATAAATAATTCTGTGTTTCAAAAGCTTGTCTCAAAGACTCTCTGTTCATAATGTGTCAGGGCCATGAAGCTAATAAAGCCAATGTCAGATGTGTGTTGGGGGTGATGGCCCTCAAATGCAGAACAGTGCATTTATTAGCATGTACATATTCTTTTCGTATTAACAATGAAGCTGTGATTGTTGAAATGCTCATGCAGGGCACTAAGAAGAGCTGTAATGGGAAAACTACACATCCTGATGCCCACAGTGCTACAATTTTGTTGGTGCTAGCATGCGTAACAGATTAGACTTATCACAAAGGTCACTGAGTATAGTTGCACTTGCATTCTCCAAGCTAAGCATTTAGAGGTATGGTTTTAACTCAGGCTCATTTATCATAGCTTTGTTGACTTTTCTCTGATTTGCCAATCACCAAAAGGTTGCAAATGTACTTACTGTTTCTTTGCTCTTGTACATGGCCTTTCATCAAGCAGTTTCAGCCCTTCCAATTTTGTAGCTCTTAGGGGGGGGAAAAGAAGGAGCAAAGTGCTTGGTTCCACTCATTTCCTATTGATTTTAAAAGTAATAGGTTCTAAAAATGAACAATGTTGTTGAAGATATATGTGCATTTCTGATATTATAATCTTTTGTTGTATTTAGCAGGTAACTGTGCACTACTCGGATTCAGATCCCTATAGGACATTTAAAATCTTTTAAAAAAATCTTTATAAGTCTTTTAAACTGATTTTTTAAAATTGTTACAAGGATAACAACAAACACAAAGTAGGATGAAAACAACTGCCATGAGCTCATGGTCAGACTAAGTTCAAAAAGCTTCACAGTGAAAACCAGTAATGATATTTGAAATCTTCCTTTCCAAATGCCTTTTTAGAACACTTCCCTTCATATCTGTGACCTTAGGCAATCTTATTAATTTTATGCCATTGTGTCTAGTTATTAGTATGTTTTTTTCCCAATCAATAGGAGACCCGGAAAACTTTCTCACATGCAAAAACAATATCTTTCTTTCTTTTTTTAAACTTCTTTATTTAAAAGTATCTCCAGACCTGTCTCTGGTGATTGGTGAGTTTCTCTGCAAACCCTCCTCAGAGACTTTGCTAGCTGAGGGTTCTTCTGCCCTCTCTGCTCCCTTTCCCTGCCCAAGAGCAGATGGGGATCCCTCAAGTTTCTTCTCTTGAAGTACATGAGTACTCAATCTGAGGGTGTCTAGAGGGTGTCTGTATAGACAGGATATGTGGAATGTGTCACAGGTGTATAGGCGCCTTGCAGTGCATGCTCCCAGGAGGTCACCCATCTTCAGCTGCAGCGCAGATCTGTAGCCTTTCCCCAGCTCCAGAAGCTCATACATCTGGTAAAGCAGGTCAGTAAATTACACACTACATTGACTAAGGTTATCTCTCAAGTGATTTCGCAGATTGAGGGAGAAGCCATGGCAGTGTTGGTTGAAATATGGTGAAAAGCACTGGGAAATACTGGGCTAAGGAGAACTGAGGATGTGTTCCCTGTTGTAAGTGACAAGGTGAATAGTCTGCATATAAGAAACAAACATTTCTCATTAGATATGAAATGTACTGCTGTCTTCTATTCAGAGAGCCTCAGTACCCAGCATCTGGTTTCTCATTCCTCTATCAGTTATGACAGCTGGTCAAATTCAGAATTGCTGACCAGTTCAGCTCAGCTGAAGAAGAAGAGAAGTGAAGGAAGAGCCTTGGCCACGCTCTTTTTCCTCCTCAGCAGTCCCATGGGCAGCTCCATTCTCCATCTCCTCTTGCAGTGCCAAGATTTAGCAAGTAGCTTTGTGTTGAAAATATTGGAAGAAAAGATTGTCTGCTAGACAGGGAAATTATCAGGTAGTCCTCTACCGTTATTCGGTTTTCAGTTTGCTGCTTCTTACAAAAAGAAAAAAAAAAAAGAAAAAAAAAAAAAGAATGTAATGGGGTATTTCAAAATGCTGCAGGGAAAAAATATTGAAAACTTTTTACGTTGCCAAACAGCAGAGAAATAATAATGTAATAACAATGATGATGGCGATGATGATGTATTTCATTACAGAAATGTAAAAACCCTTGGGCCAAATCCCACCATCTTTATTCAAAGATACCCCCAAAGACCCCAAGGTTAGCTGCCAAGTTTTGCCTGGCTGAAATTGCCAAATTCTGCAATTTCCATCCAAAACTATAAATCTTCCCAGCTCCTAAGGCAAACCTTTTGGTAATCCAAAAGCAAGCAATTGGTTCTGTGGCTGATGCATGAGGCAGAACAAAACCATACTGACTGGGAGCAGAATTGGCTCTGCAGTGCTGACAGGAAGATGAATGTATGGTGGTCAGTTGACTTGGCACATACATTAAGGGGAACACATAGGGAATAGATATTTATAGCATTAAGATGTCATTTTGCAGCCCCATTTCTGCAGACTCTGAGAAAGCCCTGAGGGAGGCTTGTGGAAGAGAATGAGCTTGTGGACTGTGTGTGGAAGAAAATTAAAAAAGGAATTTTTGAAAGAAATGGAGAAGAGAAGGGAAAATTTGTTGGTACATGAGATCACATAAAACTCCCTTGGAAGAGTTCCTACAGGAAGGATTGTATTTACTCTGGAGAAGGAGTAAATAGTTTAGACCTACAGTTTATATTGCCAAGTCTCAGTATTTAACCTTCATTCCTTCTGCTTTCAACCCCCAGAGATAGCAAAGCGGTTTCCAGAAAGTGTAACTGGGTACTTATGATAGGTCTGATAGCAAAGATAAAGAAAACAAGCTGCTACTTGCCTTTAAAGACTCTCCCAATTTTACTGTCTTGTTCTTTCCAACTATAGTTCCCTTTGCTGTAACTTTTGGGTAAACAGTGTGAAGCCAACTTTCTGATGTTAATGATGATGATGAGTTTGCTGGGTTAAGAGTTGTCCCCTTGGTGCATAGCATCAAAGAAAGATCTGACTACTGAAGTTCCTCTAACCACTGAAGGGGCCAATGAATGATTACTGTCTTCTGAACTTCGCTGCTCTGGTGATATGAATTAACGGAGGCAGCCAGCCAGCCCAAGGGAACTACTTAGTTGAGTTTTGCTTTCTTATATGTAACCTCAGACCCAACAAGATACTACAAGAAATACATCAAGAGGTACTTGCTGATTCCTGGAAGGATCAGGTATGCACAACACTCTTATAAGAGAAATTATTCAGCCTTTACCAGATTTAGCAATTAAAAAAGATTGCACTAATTTGAACTCTAAAAAATAAACTGGTGTAGGACACTAGAAATTTACTCCAGGAAAACATCTAGACCATCCTCTCAGGAAGAGGGATAAGAGGGATGCTTTTGGAGGTTACCAGTGATAGATGCTGCTTAAGTACAGCAGGTCAGGCTAAATGAGCATGGTCATCTTGCTAATATTAAATAAAATCATTCTATCAAAATAAATGTCCTGTTTCTGTCCACTGTGGTAGGACTTTGAAGACTTTAGTCAGCCTTGGACATGTAGCAGAAGTGTGAGTACACACAGAAAGAAGAAATCAGTGATGTCCAGATATTCCTTAGAGCACAATATGAGTGTTTGAAGTCATCAGACCAGAATGATAAATGGTAGAGACAACTGTGGCTCCCTAAATTGCATTTGCACCAGAGCTATCGAGTGGTAATTCTGCATTTAGTACTCTACAAAGACAAGGAAAGACACAGCCTTTCTAAAGAGGGATGATCAGCAGTTTGACAGCCTCAAGAACAGAGATAACATGTTATTGAAGTTATTATGGGTAGAGATAGCCTGACAGGTAGGTGAAGACAAGTTGTTTCCAGGATCTAAATATATTGGATAAACAGGATATACAGACATAAAAAGATACTGAGGTAGTGAGGTAGAACTATGTAGATGATAATGCTAGCAGTCCTTACTGCAGGACTGGAAAGGATGGGCTTCACACTCTAGGCATTGCATACCACACTGGCTTAAAAGGAAACCGTGGCCTAGTTGCATCTTCTGGGGCATTTGGCTGTTCAGCAGAGCACTGCCTTCTTGCTCAGCCAGCCTGGATGGGCTGGCAGGCTCAAGGTCCAAAGAGACCCTACTGCTGTCGCAGAAGCTTGGGCTACCCAGTAGCGTGCAAGAAAGCAGCTCCCTCAGGGTGGTGAACCCAGAGGAATTACTCTAATTAGTGAAGTCAGTGTTAAGCTACTGCTGTCCTAGAAAGTGTTGCCCTCTGGGGCAGAAAGTACCTTCTGTGAGTTGCAGAGCAGAAGCTAACTTGAGCCCAAAGTCTTCCAGTGGGAATATGATTGGAGGCACATCTGCATGATCCTGGTGTCACTGCAGGTCCTTATTGATTTCACAGCTCCCATGTGGACAAAGACATGGACCTACTTGTAGTATTGCTGCCTAAATCTATTGCTAGAGATCAGAGACATGCTATTTGCTACTAGTGAAAATCAAGGGTACAACTAAATGGTTTATTTAGACTGGGAAAACTAGATTAACTCTAATTTGCTATGGGCAAATTTTTGTTTGTGAACTGAACCAAGGCAGCATGTTTAAATAATGCATGGAGCAGTGGTTCTATCTTTATTAGAGTGGGTAGGAAGCAAAAATTCTGCAAAATTTGGCACTCACTGCTTCTGTGTGCCTATCCCTGATATAAAAATAGTTTCATTTTGAAAATCCTTGCAGTATCTCCTCTGTGGGATTCTTATATAATAAGTCACAGGTTTCTAATTATTTATTGCATCTATCTCTAGTATATTTTGCAAGTTTCTTTTACATTTTATATAGATTTATTTGTTTTACTACCACTTTGCATTCTAAGAACAAATCAGCTGTAATAAAAAGCACATTTCCTTGCAAGCAGAATCAATTTCCTTCAGAAGTCTTTCATTCCCTGATTAGCGTGTTACATTTGGTCTTCACTAATCACAACTGTGAGCAATAAAATTCTTAAATAAAAAAGTGCTTTGGTCCAAGTCACTGTTAGTCATAATGGATGGTTTCCTACTTAAATTTCTGAAACACGAGATGTGACTGGGCTACTTAGATACTTACATTCACATTAAAAATATAACAATTAAGGCCAGATCTGTTTTTCTGCAGGTCATTAGTATGTTATTAACAACTAAGTCTCAGCAGCAAGGTGATTTGATTGCAAGTCAGTAATGTTGTGGGAAGCCTAAATGGGTGTGGTTTTTCGATTACTTTTAAGGGTTTGGGGTTACAGGTTGCTTTGGTGTTTTTTTTTCCCTTTTTGTTAGCCTGCTTCAGTGAGAAAGCAATGAAGTAGAAGTTTTGTATGTTACTAGGTCTTTCCATGTTTCCTCTTCATTGGTTTTATTTTTGTAGACCCTGAAATGTAAGTTAGCTATAAGCCATTCCTTTTGGTTGGTGCTGGATGTGTATTAGCGAGTTACGTTCTCAGAGGATGTATTTTTACTAACTGTGAACAGGAGTAAGTCACTGTAGATCAGAAAATTTGAGCTGTGGTGGAAACCCCTCTTGTGGCTTCTGTAGCAAAGTAATACCTTTCCCAATAGTGAATTTAAACCAGCATTTGCTGGAGAGCATAGTTTGAATCATGGCTCCCTGTGGTCCAGCAACCACTCAACATGGTTTCCCTAATGTCTGTCAAATATTGTTGGAAACCACTCTGGCTGGACTGTAAGGTGAACAACGTTACATGGGTGGTATGAATTCCCTGCAGAAACTGGAGGATGCATGGGGGAAGACAGAAAATCACTTTCAGCCAAAAATACATATAAAAAAGCATTAGTGTTTATTTCAAAAACATCATCTAACAGTGTTTTAGTTTCTATATATGTGTGCTTAACAAATGATAAAAAGGAGAAGCTCTGTTTATCAGAGGAGCCAGTGACTCGGAAGCTGAGGTCTGCGAGCAGAAATGTTCTGCCTAGCCTTGGGTTTGCTTTGTGTGCATTATCAGTTGAGTGGGGTACTCCACAATGAGTCTGCATTTGATTGGGGCTTAAACGCAAACCAAGGGTGTTAGAGAAGGCTGGAAGAAAGCTATGTGTTGCAGACTTCTGCACGGGGAGAATGACTCCTGCTGTGGTGCCGCACTGGGAGATAACTCCTCTGTGCTGATCTATTACTTTGTGTGTCCCACTGGGACACCTGGGCCATCACTTCCAGCAAGGGGCCGAACACTACTGGCATGAAACATGAACACTACTGCATGAATCAGAAAGCCATAGATTCCTTGTTGAGTATATTCTTCACGGCATCCTGAGTCTTTGCTGCAACAATGAAGGTATACTTAACTGGGAGAAGGATTGGGAGCATATGAAGTAATGACTATGATAGCACCTCAAAGTATTAATGTGATATTATGACCTTTATTGGCTGAGGTCATCTATCAGCATTCAGGGTGTTGGGAGTCACTTTGATGGAAGAAATTGATATTTAATTTTATTTTACTTTACATTTCTGTGCAAAAAGTCATTCTATTCTATTTCTATTTAATACAGCACATTTAAATGTAATCTATATATTCTGTATATATGCCGTGATCTAGCATATATTCCATGTCTTGCCTCACTAAACAGAGGCAAATCAAATATAAGATGGGTTCTTTATTTACAGTGCCCAGAACTGATCCAGTCTGCACTCATAGATTTTATTGATCGTCTCAGAGCCCCTCCTGTATTGTTCTCTATGGTATAAATAGTACCATTAAATAATAATGACTTCCTTTACCATGTCTATTTTCAGACCGCATGAAAAATATGTCAAACAAGAAGACCAAACTCTAATTCAAACGTCATGTCACCTGTATTTTGGAAGAAGACTCCTGGTTTCATAAATCAACCTATTTGTTTAATTCATGTCTCTGAGAAAAACTGTCCTGATGGCCATTAGGTTGCACTAACCAACTAATCATTTATTATTAGTATTAGCAAATAAAATGACATTAGTGAATAAAAAGGGGGGGAGGAGAGATATAGTTTTGCAATAAATTTTTAACATGTGATTGGCCAAGCTAAGCACTGAATTGTTCAGTTCTATAACCACAACACAAGTTCACCTATGTACTATGTGCAAGGTGAATTTTGCGTGTGTGTATTCTGACTGGAAATCATAATGGATTCTGCATTGGTTTGCAGTCCTCAAAGCATATCCAGATCCACTGTTATCAGCCTTGCTTTTAAATGTTTATCATTGAGCTGTTTGTTTGCAATGCTAATGCTTTTTGAAATGCCGTGCATTGCACTTAAATTTTCTCATTGTTGATTTCTTTTAGTTTCTCTGAAATTTATTGTAGAGGGAAAAAGCAATGGCAATCAAGAATATAGGGCACTGCATTTGAGGAAATGGAGTACAGAAAGAAGCCTTTCACTAAAGAGCTGCTGGTAAGAATCCAGCTCAGCTTCAGATTTAGCAAAAATCATTACTGTGTGATGGCTTCTTGGTGCCCTGCACTCTAGATCCACAAATGAGTCAGAGTCTGCATCTCACGAACCACCAGAACAATTAATGCTACTGTAATTGGGAGTCTTCTGCCAGGACCGGTGGAAAGGGCAGGGACTGAGTGAGCATGGAAAAAGAGCTGTTTTCTCCCTGCTCCTTCAGGTCACCTTTAAGACATAACTGTGTGAGGAAATCTTGAAGAAACTAGCTCTGTGGTAGCTCTCCTTCTGGAGAAAAATGGAAGACTTTACTTGCCAGTACTGAGAATCTGACACCCCCTTACAAACATTATATTCAAGAACAAGAAAGTTCATTAAGAGATGGTTTAATGTGTGAAAGTACGAACTTAAAAAAAAAAAAAAAAAAAAGTTGAACTAATAAGAAAATCCAAAGTGCTAATTTAAAATAATAGGAACAGAGCCCAGCAAATATTATAACGCCTGACCACCATTGGCAACAGTTATTTCCCTCAAAAATACAGAAAATCCTGCTCTATTATTAAACCATTGAACAATCTCTTCAATTTGAATCTATCCTAGGCAAAAAGAAAGGAGTGCTTGCACTGTACAAGTACTCCTTGGAGATGAGAATGTGGATTGATAGAAGTGATTCTGGACTTCATTCAGGCTGAGATGATGCTTCAATGTCATGGTAACATTGACTGGAAGGAGAGCTGTCAGCAACACTAGACACCATAAACAGAGTGCCTTTAGGGAGGTCTGGGGCATCTGGTGTGCACGTGGATCACAGAATAGTAGATTGGAAGGGACCTCTGGAGGTCATCTGTTCTGGTCCCTGAAACTGGCACTTACACAGACCCATCTGCTGTGAACTGGGAAGTTCTTCACATTAGAATTTATATGCTACTGGCAGAAAAACTACCTCTGGCAGGAAACTCGCCCCACACTATCAGAGATTAATTTTGCTTTATAGTTCCCATAGGCCTCAAACAGTTAAACTGTGAAGATGTCTCTCAATACGCTGAAATGACAGAACCACGTCTGCTGATTATTGTGGTGAATGTGATAAAGAATTATTGACTAAGTGAAAGTAAAAAGAATGTGCTAGATATCAGATTAGCAAAATAAGATTAGTGCTAGCAAATCTGAAAGGTTCTGAGACACCTTAGGCTATTTTTGAATTCATGCCATACATGTATTCAACTAAAAATAAACTAGAAACTTCAAGGTTTTTTTCCACTGCAGTTCCTCAAAAACAAAACTTTTTGACTCCTCGTGATAAAATGATTCAAAAATGTAATTTAAATAAAGTACCTCAAACCAGAAAGTTCAGAGTGAGTGACCCAATACAAAAAATTCTGTTTGTGTGAGCATGTGCACATGTTTGTGGCGAGTTTGACCACAAAACCAAAAGACAATTTGTTTATTTTCAGTGCTTTAGCTGTAACCTGACACATCCCTGCTTTTATATTTTTGGGTTTCTCTTCAATAGATAACGCTAGCAGATTGTGTAGTTGTGTTTATAGAGAGAAGACAAAGATTAGATACCTATGTTCTTTCCCAGTTGTGTGGTGTGCACAATTTGAAACCCAGGTCTGTGAGTGTGGAAAAGTGGAGTAATTCCCTTTTCTTCATTCTCTTATGAGATATACCTGTATCATGAGGGTAGTGGGAAATAAATGCATCTTTTCAGGGTAAATATGGAGAAGTATTATGGAGCACTACAAAGGCATGAGAGCCAACTCTACAGTTTCTGGGAGATGAGGGATGACAGCACCCAGAACACAGGTTTTGGAGTTTAGAAGGAAAAAAAAAAAAAAAAAAAAAAAAAAAAAAGTGCAAGAGGATTTCAGCATCCAGCATCACACCACAGCTTTCTTTTAGTGAAGAGCATGTTGTGCATATTTTTCCCTTTTCTATGACCAGTGCTGAATTCCTCAGGGGACTGGTGATTCTTCAGATACGGTGCTGTGGAAAACTTGGTCCCTTGGGCAGTGCCTAGCCCTACCCTCAACAGGCATGGAGCAGAGGGGAGCAAAGGGCTTGTTGTTGAGCAAGGAAATGTGTATGCAGAGGCTTTCCACATGCAATCAGCCAAAGCAAGAGGCTGAATTCAGCAGAGGTTGAATTTATGAGAACAGCAGCAGGAGGTGGGATGAGGGGTTTAAATGGCTAAAAAATGCTTTTTATAGTGGTCTTTGTATTATAATAAAAGTGTTTGTTTCAGCATCTCTGCTAGTCAGTGAAAGCAATATAAGTTTAAGAGTAGCTGATATTTCATACAATAATTCATGCAATAGAAACGCATTTGTCCATCCTGAGTGCCTGTTACTTGGCAAGCAGATGACTGGTCTTATTAGACAGACTATTGTTTCCACAGGCAAGGTGGGGTACACGTCCTTGTTAATGTGAAGAAAAACCTGTAAAGGTCTAAGCCATAATGCATTACAGGACAAAGAAACATGTGTGGAAGCAGCACGTAAACTCAATTGAATAAAATAGTACAGGATAAGGTCACTATTGTTATAAATGAAGTCTCAATCTGAATTTAGTAATATTCATAAAAGAATATTTATAAAAGGTATAAAAGGCAAGTAAACAGCACTGGGTGTGCAGGGAGTCTACGCTCCACCAACACGCACACAGAAACATCAAACATTCTAAATATACAGAACATTGCTTTACATACTAAACCAGAGTATGCCTATACAATCAGAAAAGGTAACAAACAATCCTTAAGTTCCATGACTTAACAGCCTCCATTTTCCATTCCTTTTCTTGATTACAAACAAGTCTCCATTTTCCATTCCTTTTGAACAAAATGTCTTGCTTTAAGTTGTCAAGCAACTTGGTCTTTGGGCCTTATGTATCCTGTTCTTCCAGATCGAAGAAAAGCATATCCATATTGTTTTCGAGGCCAATAGGCCTGGGTCAAAAGGCACGTCCAGGTCAGCAGGGGGCGTAACAGCAAAAGCCTTCGATGGCTGTAGCAGCTTAGGGGCCCATGGTGCAGCAGTCGAATAGGTAAACGAGCCAGCAGCTCCCTCACTATCTGGCAAACCACACGTTTCTGACTGTGGCTCCACATGGCTCTTTAAGGTCTCAGAGATTGCTCGCCAGGTGCCGAGCAATCCCACTGCAACCTTGTCGTTTTTAGTTGCAGAGTCCCACACCTTGACCTCAATTTGGTCCCATATTTCAGGATCATAAACTGTCTGATTGTTAATAAGGAGAATAAGCTGTAAGGTTACCAGGACAGTCTTTGTTTCTAAGGACGTATGATTCCCCATAATGCGCAGCTGCTTACCAGCGAGGGGCAGTTGTGTGCACGGGTCCTCTTCTTCAGCTTGAGCTTCTTCCCAGCTCCTGTGTGCCTGTTTCCAGCAACTTTCTGTATGAGCTTCTCTGAGCGGTTTGCTGAGTTTGGCCGAACCTATCTTCATGAGGCAATCAATGTGCCTGTTCGCCTCCTGGTCTCTGTTCTGCTAGCCTGTTCCTTTTCATTCCTTCTTTCTATTTCTTTATTGATGACATAACTTTATCACATCTCGTTGCCTTCTTTTTTAACCTGAGGGCAGGCTCCCCTCTTATACCCTTCTCTCCACAGCAGTTCTTTTCAAAACAACTTTGCCTATAACAACAACAGCAAACACCCAGAAAATTCCATGTCTTAACGGCCGGAGAACAAGAAACACCAGACTGCATGGAGTCTCCTGAATCACCCTTCTTTGTTCCCTCTAAATTCTTTTATGTTCCTGATGGCCTCATCATTAAGAGTCTAATGTTATCTCAACCACGGGGCTTTCTGACCCCCATGACCACAATCCAACATCTCCCACTTTTTTATTAATATCAACCATATATAACACTATATATAACTCCATATATACACTCCATATACAAATATACTCCATATATACACTCCATATATAACACTATTGAGAAATATTATTTTTTTTTTAAATAGAGCCTTCCATGCTAAGTCAGGCCAGAAAATGAGTTGCTTTTGTGAATTTCCTGCAATACCATATACTGAACAGGGTTGCGCATGAATGAAACCATGATGTATGATGTGGCTTCTTAAGCATTAAAAAAACTTTAAAACTGTAACTGCAGTGTTCATTCCCAAATGATTTTGCATTGCGTAATTTTTAAAGAAAACTGAAATAGTTTACATACATCTTTGTATATTCAAAAGCTTCATATTTCCAAGACCATAAAGAAAACCTTAAAAAGAAATTACTTTCACAACTCAAATAGTGATATTTTAAAATATATAGGAAAATGCATTAAAAATGAATAGGTGCAAAAAATAGAAAATCTCAATTGTCTTTTTTTTTGTACTTAATCATAACAAGTGGTTGATATGCATACATAAAACCAGATAGCACAGATTTTTTGTTCATTGTATGTATTTAATTTTATTATGCATTTGTCTGAGCACTTGCTTTCTGTGTCATGAATTCTCTTTCTGTGCATGTTTTGAAACACTCAGAATTGTGGCTCATATAAAATATATCTGTTTACAACGTTGTAAATTTTTATATAAACTCTCACAAATACTTTGGTTTTATGTATACACACATAAAAGCTTAATTTTTTAGTTCTTGAAGTTAAGTATTTATAATAGTGTCAGTATTCATAATAGTAATATAAGTAATATAGTAATATAATAGTAATATAAGTATTTATAATTTATAATAGCAAGATGAGATCCAGAATGTTTCATTAAAGATCAAAACTGTATAAATGATACCTGGAAATATAATATAGGAAATGGGTACCCTAAAATATATGTGATTTCCCACATTTTTTTCAAGCACACGTGCCTTTCTAAACATGCACAATGTGAAAGTCTGAGTTTATATATAGTAATGGTGTCACTCAGGTTATGTTTATGAGCAACTCTAAAAGGTGTGCAAGCTATTAAGGAAACACTATTCCTTTCCTTCTTGCCTCCGGAACATGGGAAGAATGTGTTTTTGTTGTTTGTTTTTTTCCGAAGTTACATCTCTCAAATGATGCCATTGTATAAATTTATCTGTCCCTCTAACAGATCTGATTTGATCATTGAAAAGGATTTACGAAAACCAATTGTTTGAGGATAAAATTCAGTCGAGTGTTGTTATATTGCACACACTGATATTTAAAGTACCTTTAATGTAGTGGCTTTCAGCAAGTCCTTCTGTGATGACTGCTGTCAAATAAACCTTTATATTGCCCTGCTCAGCAAAACCTTTGTACTGTCTTTGAAGTAATGTGCTGTTAATTGCTTTCTTCCTGGGCTGCTGGATGGAAGAGACTATGTAAATAAGGGTTTCACATTAGTGAGCACCAATAATTAGAAATGCCTTACTTTTTAAAGGGGAAGAGGTCAGATTCTCTTGAATTAGATACAATGTGCACTTTGGAGGATGTGTTTTGGAGGATGGGGCTTTGAGCAACCTGGTCAAAGTGGGAGGTATCCCTGCCCATGGCAGGTGGGTTGGAAGCAGGTGGTCTTTAGGGTCCCTTCCAGTCCACACCACTCTCTGACTGATTCCCTCTTAGGTGCAGCCCATCTGTTCCTAACCATAGTTTATTCTAAGGTAATATTCTGCTTATGCCCCTTGTAGCTGTGCAAGTAGTGCCCCTTGTAGTCTTATGTAGGCAGAGCAGAAGTCTGAGCAGCTCCCTGTCCTGGTGAGTAAGATGAGAGAGGAATGGTAACTGTTCAGTAGTCAGCAAGTTCTTGTCCTGGTGAGTAAGATGTCGGAGCAGTGGTCAACTGCTCGGTGAAGTTAGTAATATTCACTGGAGGGATTGGCAGGGGCTTCTTCTCACCCATGTAGACTACTAACAAGAACTGTGAGGTGGTAGCTGCTCCTCTGCTTTCCCTCAGCAACAGAAGAGCTGAGCACCCACATTGGTCAAGTGCTGTTTCTTGTAGCTGAGGTCAAACCACAGACCATAGCAGCTGTCTGTATTAGGGCATTCTTCTCATTTGCTCTTGTGCAAGTCTTAAACTCATGCTATTCCATTTTGAGTGAAAACTTCAACTTGGTGGTTATTCAGGAAATGAAAAGAGGGAATGAGATTCAATTCAAAGCTTTTTTTCCGTTGTGCCACTAACACCACCACCAACCCCAAAGAACCTTGAATAACACCATTGTCCTTCTGGGAAAATATGATCGGAAGTTAAATGTTGCCATCTAATGGTGAATATCTATAATACAGTTTTGATGTTTTGTCTTTTATTACCTTGCTCTGTGTACCTGCAAGTCCTTCCTTCATTAAGCACTAGAGGAATGAAACTGGTGTTTTATTCAGATTTTACCTGGGAAGAGATCTCCTAGCTTATCAGGAACAAGATGTTGCAGCTGGATGTGAAATTGCAGCTATTCAGTTCAAATGAATTCTAACTTCTCAATGTTTTTTCTGTGTATTCAGATATAGACGAGTGTTCCTTTGAAAGGACCTGTGATCACACCTGCATCAACTACCCTGGAAGCTTTGAATGTCTCTGCCATAAAGGCTACACTTTGTACGGGCTGACACACTGTGGAGGTTTGGAAACTGAGTTTTGCTCATCAGTTTACTTTGTTTGCTTTGTGAACTGTTTACTGAGCAGCCATTCTTCCACAGATTCTAGAGGAAGATGTGGCTAATAGGGCTGGGCCTGCATGTGTTAATTGGTGCAGGACCTAGGTGTGTGCTTGACCCGTCATTGGCCCCACTTCCTACCTGTACCTCACGCTCTGGCTGGGTCACTAGACTCCAAACCTGGGACCTGGAGGGAATTGGCAGGGTGTATGGAATTACACGGCCAGGTACACAGCAGTTGGAGTTCAAGTTTGGGCTTGGGTGTGATTTGGAAAGGCAGGTAGACACTCAGCTTGTCAACCGTTGTGGCCAGACCTCCCTTAAAAACATGTTCAGTGACAATTTTTCTTTGACAGTTAAATTTTGAGGCCTATCATTGAGGTAGAGCAATTCAGCATATTTCATGTTGACTGTTGTCATTCCAGCTCACTTAAGCATACATTAAATGGCATGGCACAATCTATGTGCCATGTAGAAGTCTACTGAAGTAATACTACTGTTTTAGCAAGCAGATGGGTAGGTATGTTTAAAGGGCAGAAACCACATGTTGTTGAGGTTAGCACAGTGCCTAAAACAAGGCTATGGTCCATAACGAGGACTTTTAGATTATGGCTTTTTTAGTAAACTAAAGAGTCTGGAGTAGCAAATTGATGATGGTTTGCTGGTATTGTATCATCATTTTGGTCTTTGCCATCTACTGCTCAAGATGCACCTGAGTGTGATCCAGGGATAAGGACATGGCAGCACAAATCCTGGTGAGCTTGATGAATAAACATCCCTTCTGATGGGGGGGGGGAAGAGGAGAAGAGAGATCAGCCATGCTGACACATATAAACTCTGACTGTATAGACTAAAAAGGTTATACTTCATATTGACCAAATACTTTTCTAATGTATCTATAGTTCAAAGATTCTATATGAAATATCAGTGATATGTATCTGGTAGCTGCTTGCCTTCTTGGAAACTTTCAGCTTTCATTTTTTTGTTTGAGGAGACTGAATAAACAACTACCTTTCAGCTTCTAGGTTCCTATCAAATATTATTATTTCCTTCACCTGAATAATTTCTAAAAGCAAACTCTGTGAATGACTATGGAAAATTTACCTCCCTGATACGTAAAAGTGATTGAATCTCACAGATGTTTATACCTTTGACATTTTTCATATAATGGAATAGTTATTGTCCAGATGCTGCAGACTTTCAAGTATATTTTGTATCCTGTCAGTACTTCCAAGAATTTCAGTGTAACTAGTCCTGACAAGTAAATTGTATCAGATGCATAAATCCTTATAGGAATAGGAGTTATATGTGTGTCTGAGGACAAATACATGCAGTGTGCACTAAATTGTTTGACAAGACTATTGACTGTATTGCACACATTTATATAGGTGTAAATGTAGAAGACATAGTAGGTACAGATATTGTTATGTACATAATATTCCAGTGTACAGTATATACAGGGATACTGGGCGCATATTATTAATATTGTTCTCAGTTTTAATTACATTTTCAGATATTGATGAATGCAGCATCAGCAATGGCAGCTGTGACTATGGATGTCTGAATACAATGGGGAGCTATGAGTGTGTCTGTCCACCTGGAAAGAAACTGCACTGGAATAAAAAAGACTGCGTTGGTGAGTAAGTTACTGACTCAGAGGTGACTGCAGTGATGCTTTATTGCTCCAGGAGAGTGGAGAAGCCTGGGGCTTTGTATGAGGATTGCTGTAGATTGGCTGTAGAATTGGAAATATGCTGTATTTTAAGTGTTGGTTGTTTTTTTTTTTTAAATTTATGATTCTGTGCCCAAAAATCTAAGTCTTCCTACATTATTAGTTTACCCATCTTATAATTTTGTCCTTTTCTTTTTTGTCCTTTGACATCCAACTCTGTGACCTTAAATGTAACTCAACTTTTTAAGAATCATTTAGAATACCCAAAATATTTAACTGTTTAAAAATAGGAGAAATTAAAGTTAATATTAATTCAAGCTAACATCTATATTCACAGCACCATACCCCAATGTTTCAAGTTCTTTCCAAAGGTATCCTGCGTATTATAAAGTACTGACAGTAACTGTATAAGAAGTATTAATTGCAATAAGTACAAATCCCGAGACTACTGAAATGATGGCACGTACTGCTAATGCCATTTACTCTGTGGCAAATCCAAATATCTGTTCTAATCATTGTTCTTGTTTATCTTATAAATAGATTATTTTTAATTCTGGAAGCACAATTTGATACATGGCAAATCTTGGCCATGGCTACACCTGTTAGAAATATTTTCTATGAGATTATAATTCTATTTTCATATTTTTAGTGGGAATTATATACCTTAGGTCTTTCCTAGGCAAATCAAAGTTGTTACTTTTTTTTTTTTTTAAACCATGAATAACTTACTGTGGATACATTTGGAACTGATGTCTAATACCTAACTAAGCAAGACACAAAAATAAGGGAAGGGCCTTACTTAAGGGAATCTCCTGATAGACCAAGGGAAAGCACTTTATTCTGGAGTAGAGGGCACTGCACCAGCCTCTTACATGATCAGGTGATTGTGGCATTTTTTCCACTTACATGGATACAGCACTATGGAAAGCACTTTATAACTGGAAGGGCTTGAGTTGGCTTTCAGCCTTTGCCACTGACTTTCTTTCTTAAGCACCATTAAGAACTTCATCTTCCTCACCCTCAGATATATTGCCTTCACTGTTACATAGCAAACTAAGTACAATAGGAATAAAAAATGGTTAACTCCTTGGTTTTGCTTTGTTTCGATTTGGTTTGGTTTTAAGTTATCTACTGCATCTCCCTTGCAAAGTATTGGTTAGTCCTCTGGAAAGGGGTTTGTAAACAAATAGCAGGGACTAATGTTTTCTGAAGTCTGGTATACAGTTAGACCACAGAAGTTTTATGTTATACTCTCCCTCTATTAAGAATGCTGTTCCCATAATAACAGACTGTATTGAAAATATTTTCCTAATTGTAAATTTCTCTTCATTATTTGTAATACTCAGTTAGAGACACAAAATAGAATATCTTTCTCCATAAATACACACTGTTTTATTTGATGACTTTAATGAGGCTTAAAATGAGTGTCATCTCCCTGCTGCATTCTACATTTGCAGTAACAAAATTCTTTTGTGCTCAGCAATGACACTTCGCACATGTATTGTCTATTCAGTACAAAGAAATAATTTCTTTATAAATGTCACCAAAGCAACAAAAAAGGCCTTAGGAGGGAGGTAAGTGGAGGATGATCATTCCCGTATTTCAGATGTGAACATCAGGTGAGTTTAAGGGACTTGCATTTATTTGTATTTAACCAGCGGTGAGGCCAGGCACACAACCTAGGTGGCAGCAGCTGGAACCCTTCCTCTGCACTCAGACCAAACCAGGCAAGGCTTATGTCAGCTACCACATTTGAATAGGCCTTTTTTATCCCACCTTTACTTGTCTTTTCCCAAGCCCTGGCCAACCCAAATCAGTCTGACTGCATCCTATAGGACTCAGATGCTACAGCTCTGATCCCCAGCTCTGACCCACACATACCTTGCTGTGGTTCAGTGGTGAGATGAGGGGTAGGAAAAATAGCAGGTGCAGCAGCAAGGCCAGTCAGGAGCTAAACAGGAAGCAGCCAAGTACCAACTTGCAAGGTGAGCATGATTAGAGGAAGTACCAAATAACAGCCAGAGGAAAAGCCTGAACAAATGTTTTTATGGGGCTAAAACAAGAACTGTTCTGCAGACACCTGCCTTAGATTCAGCCAGCTCATGCAGCATGAAGCATCTGCTTGAAGAAGTGCCCAGCACTTCAGTCAGCCTCAGTGCAGAGTTCTGGAGGAAATGACTGGAGGAAAGAAGCAAGCAGTGAGGCTGCCTCTATCTGAGGTGCAGATAGACATGGCACCTACTGGCTGTAGCTGAGAATGCATCTGATCATTTATAGGGAAAAAGGTGTATTTAAATATCTGAGTCCAAGAAGATGTTGAATTAAAATAGCTGCAGTATTATAATTATCAGTCATCTTCAGGGGGAAGCACGGAAACTGGTCCAACAGCTCAACAATTGTATGTAGATTCGGCTAAAATAAAAACTGTCCTTCAACCAGATAAAGAGAGCAGTGTGAGTAAGACCTACAGGATATTCTGTCTTCAACCTGCCATGAAGCTGTGAGAAGAAGCTGGACATTTCCATTGTATGAGCAGCAATGTGCGTTGTGTGGTGGGTGGTGATGAGAAGTAGCTGACATTTATGTGCATGTCACAGTGTCCTTCCTAGCATAGCTCAGGGTGTTTCAGCAGTGGCTGAAAGGATTGGTGGGGCCATATACCCCCAGTCCCAGCATGTGCTGCCTCACCCCAGCTTGGCTGGGAAGTTTTCTACTTTTAGAAGTTTAAGCATAGAACTGAGATGTAAGTCTATGAGAGCTGGAGTGAGAAACAGAAAATGCTTTTACTGGTCATATGAATATATAGACCTTTTGAGGGTGACTCCCATTTATGTTGTTGTAGTGGGCCTGCTGAACTACAGAGCTATGCCTCCAAAAAGGGGGGACAGGACTTCTGGACCTGTCACTTCTGTGATCACACTGTGCATGCAGCATCATGCTCATAATTAGACACACCTACATTTCACATAACAGATCTGGAGTCCCAAAATGGAGAATTGGAAGAAAAGATTGGATCCAGTGTTTAGGTCTAAAAATGTGAAGGAGTTTCATTTCTAAGTCCAAGCACAAGACCCACATACTTCTCTTTGTTATGTGCTTATTTCAGAAATGCCTGGACCTGTGATTTTGCTTTGTTGCCACTTCTACCTTTCTGCATTGTTGTAAACAAGTGGATGTGTGAGGTTCTGGGTTGTACAGTGTTTGATTTTTCTTTTTTTTTTTTTTTTCTCCTCAGAGATGGTTAAATGTCTCCCAAATGCCAAGCCTGCTCCCAAGGCTCAGCTAGTGTGTAGTAAGACAGGAGGAATAGAGAGCTGCTTCCTGTCATGTCCATCCAATACTCTTTTTGTTCCAGGTTTGTACAGAGTATTTGTCCTCCTAAGTCTAGGATGTGACTTGATGATTTTTCTATGCTAATATATTCATGATTCGTGCATTCAGTTTTTGGTATGAACAACTGTAATTGAGCAAAATATCATTATAAATTAAATTTGGGCCAAACATTAAATACAAGAGCTGACTGTCTGTTATATTAGAGGTTTGGCCCTTAGTTGTTTAATTGAGGTGTCATTTGAAGGAAAAAAAAACAATGAAATTCTCCCCAAAAACTGAAATGTAACTAAAGTAAACAACATGGTGCAAAAGAAAAAAAAATAAATTGCTCAGTCAAAAGTGGAGGAAAAACTGAACAGTTGATTTCCCTGATAATTTTAGATATCATGTTACTCACTGTAAATAGAGACCCCTGAGCCTATCCAGGCATCTTCTTAAAAAGGTGGACTCTGCTTCATGTCCTGAAATAACCTGCAATTGTGTGACTGAGCAGGAGCAGAAACAAATCATTAAGTGGATGGGTTCCTCTGACAGAGCACAGCATGAGGCAGGGGCAGGAGAGGAGCACTGGGACACAGCAATTTAATGCTGTGGCAGCCCGAGCTCTCATACCACAGTAGTATAAAAATGCCATCAGTTCATCCAGGGATACTGCAGAGCAATGGATGGCCTAGCAACCGCTTAAAAGCTGTCTTATGGTCTCATACAAAATGAATATAACTAAATCTGTCTCTGGAGATTGTATGGAAAAATCCTTCACTTCAGTTGTTTCAGTTGCTGGGTTTTAATAATTTTTTTTGGAAGTAGTTCAGCTGAATGTTATAGAAACTCAGACATCCTTTTTTTTTTTTTTTTTTTTTTTTTTTTTTTTCCCTCCTCTTTTCTATATCATTTGCTACAGGTAATTTTCATCTACACAGTTTTGCAGGGCAAGGGAGCTAGGGGTTGAGATTACTTTTTTGTGGATGTTCTCATCCTGACACAGGATTATTTTCCACAAGACTGTCTCTACTTTTCATGTTAGTACTGACATGTTGTACTGTCATGTACTCTCATGCTGTAGAGCTGTTCACACTTTATTTTCAATTTAACAGAGATTACCCATGCATTTACCTAATTTGTATGCATCAATACACAGTTTTATCTGTGCAGTATATAAACCCTTTTATGGTTCTAAGTATGTTGTTTTTGTTTCTGCCAATAAGTTCTCTTGGTCTGAAGCTAACATTATTACTAAAGTACGTGGTTTACTTTTAAATTACAGAGATGATCAAAGCACAAGGACTCTACCACAGACAAACACAGTAAAATATTTCCTACTTGTGCACCATGGAATTATCTAATTTACAGCTAACCTCATGCTAAACTGTTTATGAAATGTTGCAAGAAACCCAGTGTTGCAAGAAACAAAATTTCTAGTCAACATTGAAGCAGTAGGCTTTGGCAAGCTATTTCAGCCAGTTCAGCACTTTAAATGTCTCTTTATTTAGCAGTATTAAAAAGTTTGCTTGAGTGCAGTATATTAGTGCTGGGAGTGACAAGTGGAGCAGGTGTCTTTTGAGGCTGTTGCCATGTGTGTTGACTCAGCATTGTGCCTTGCAGATTCGGAGAACAGCTACACGCTGAGCTGTGGTGTTCCTGTCCAGCAAGGCAAGGCTCAACAGAAACGCAATGCCACCCTTCCCAGCTGTGCAGGTATGTGCTCTCCTGTTCACCTGGGCCATGACCTCTAGAGGAAAGGCAACAGAAGTTCCCTGAGCTGCAAGATGCACAACTAAAGTTACACAAGGCCAGATTTAAGGTAGCCTGTGTTTCCACACACACGCACTTGCTTTTTCACAGCCTCTCTTCTAGGGCTGGAAAGTGCTTAGCTGCCCTGCAGTGCCACATCCTGTTTGTAGGTCAATATAGTAGCAGCGGAGGTTTGATTTATACTCAATGAAGACAAGTGTCTATTGTAATTTACTTTCCATAGTCCAGCAAGGCAATAATAAGCACATCAAAATGTCAGCTCTTCGCAGACTTGGAATTGATTCAAGGGGGCCAGCACAAGTGCAGCAGCAGCAGACTGCAGTGGGGTCAGTCCTCAGCTACAAAGACCTTGCTTGGAAGCACTGAGGCTCTTGGCATTCCTGATAAAAAACGTTATGGGAATTTTATGATCACATTCTGTTTCATTCATCTTGTTCACGGAAATAGCTGCATTATTTTGCAGAGACATTTCAAAATTGGTCTTAAAACTGATAACCAGCATAAAATAAAATAAATAAATAAATAAAAAGATTCATCTCAAATGATTGAAGTCTGGCAAACTTAGAAGCAGACGAAATAGTATCCCGGCCCACTTTGTGTCATTACTTGCTATGCTTCTCTGCAATTTGCCTGTCCTCTAACCATGTATTTCTTATATATTTGGAATGTATTAGGAATTACAATGCTGTGAAGTGAGTTAACAGAGCAGCAGATCTGTCTGCCTGTGCCACAGGGGCAGGTTACCTCCCAGGGAAGGAGAGACCCACACCATGGCACTTAACCTGCAACCGCCCTCCGCTTGCTCTGACTGCAGTGGGCAGCCCACAGCAGCAGACAGGTGATAGGTCATGCCTAGCCTTTTCCACCACAGCATTTGTGAGAAGGTCAGGCAGCAGCTGCATTTCTAAGCAGCACGTGTTTGGAGCCTTTAAAGTCATGACTGGCTTGGATCTAAAGCTGAAGAATAAACCTAGCAAGCCATAGACCATAGTCAAGTAGAGACATTTCCTTTGGATGGTTTTCAGTTGTTAACAGCATAACTTTACTGTCATTCTTATTACTGGCTAGCATTAACAAGGGTGGAACTACAGCCAAGTAACATAGGAAGTCACAGTTAGAGCCAGGAAAAAATGGTAACAGTTAACTTTTCTCATAATAAGAGACAAATTCACCCAAAGTCCACCAAGATATGCAGGTTTGCTGGAGGGGAAGGGTATGTGCAGAGTATATGCAATACTAGCAATACTAGCAAATTCCTTGATCTTTATGGGCTCAAGAGTAAGTGTTTATGGGGAAAAAATAAACTTTTTCATCTGCATCACAAACAATAGCTTTTATATTTTACATCAACAGATTCCTTAGCCCCTCCAATCAAGCAGAAAGCTCGTTTTAAAATTAAAGATTCAAAGTGCCACTTACGGCCTCGCAGCAAAGAAAAAACAAAAGATACTGGGAAGCAAGCTGTTTTAGGTATGTTGTTTCTTCCAGCACATAAGCAGCATTCTAATTTTTTGCTTGTTTGTTTGCTTGTTCGTGTAATTTGATTTCACACTGCAGACAGAAAAAAGTAATGCTTTCTGAATTTAAGATCAAGTCAAGTTTCACACTTTAGCTGAACAGTATCATGGGTTTGGATCTGGCAGTGCTGAAATGTCACCAGTTGCTTTGAAAAGTCTTCATCTAAAACTATACAAATTTGGAATTAAGCTGATTCTTTTTCTGGCATTCGTTAAGATGAAAAAGAAAAATCTTGACACAAAAAGTTATGACCAACTTGCATGAAATGTTTTCAGTTTATTTTTTCCAAGTTAGGTTTATAAAAAAAATACACTAGTGAAAGCTATTATTTGCTTTGTGCTGGATTAGTATCTCATTGCATAAGCAAGACAACTCCTATGCAGCAAAGTTATAATCAAAATCTGATGTTACACAGCCTTAGACCACTTGTGATATTGGAGTGAGTAGTTGTGTTGTTTGAAAATTTATTTTTAAATCTTTATTATTACTAGTTTTTAACTTCACTTTTAAAGTTAAAAAGGATTATAAAACTGATACATTTTTGACAGATCATCATGACATTTATTTTGATATATAATAGAGGAAATTAAGTGATTGGTATTGATATCTTGGTATTTTTGCTGCACATTTCCACAGCAGTTAAAATATTTGAATTTCATTTAAATTTAATATTAACTTGGAATATCCTGGATTTTATTATACAACATCAGTATAACTGAAACAGCTCATATTGTAACTTAGAGGAGCTTATCAGCTTATAGAAAATGTCTAGTGGTGACACATTCTCTTGTGAATCTGTCATATCACTTTTGCTAGTAAGAAGTTGTATGAATCATGAACAGATAAGAGTAAAAATAGGTAGCCCAAAAAATGTTAATGGCTTAAAGATTCTATTTTTTTAATTTAGACATGTATTTTATCTTTATCATGCAATCTAAACATTTATCTTTCTAGTTTCCTAATTTTCCAAGTATTTGCTTGAAGCAAGTCTCACTTCTTAAGATGCTTACCTTGTTGTTATGTATTGTCTTCTAATAACATGTGGCTATTGGACTCATTTTTAAAGTTATAGATTATCTTTTTTTTTTTTTTTTGTCCATACCATCACTATAGGAATACACTTGGATGCATTTCCTTGTCCTTTGCTCTCTTTGCTGTGTATCTGTTACATGCCTGAACTTCTGGGTCTAACAGTTTATGTCATAAATCTGCACACTCAAAATGCAATCCTTCTGGTGGTTTGGGGCTAGAAATTTGTCCCTGAGTTGGAATTTTCATCACTTATCAAAAAAGGATGTTTTTCACATAAACTTATTTATATAAGGAAAGGATCCTTACATGATTGTGTCTCAATGGACTGTGGCCTTTGTTCTTGTCAGTAACACATAACTGAACAATGCATTAAGTTCCTCTGGCTTGTGACTTATTCTGTTCAAACCTTCTAATATATTTTCAAAACTTCCCAATCAAAAGGTTTTCAAGCCTTTTGATATCTGGTGATTTTCATTGCTGAAAAAGCTGTAACAATTGTTTCTTGATGCCCATGCTTGCTATGGTCTAGTCTCAGGCCTGCTGCTCTCATGAAAACTGACTCTCTTGCTTGGTTTAAGCATACAATGACTGTATAAACTGATTTTAACTACTCTCCATAAAGAACTTCCTAATCCTTGCACAGAAAAAAAGACAAAATTAAAGTTACTACTACACAGCTGAGCACCACCACACTATTCTTTTGTCTCCTGCAGTCACCAGCAAAATGAGCAAACCAAAAATTGCACAGCAAAGGCGTCTAACTGCATGTGAAATGTTATGAAACCATGATAATCCAGCTGAGATACTGCTTATTAGACTGTCACTTGCTACTTTGCTACTCGACTTCTTTTCTGTGTTGCTTCTCTCACACAAAGGAGGTCAATTCCCTTGTACAGACAACTGCCATGTGACATTTGTGAATCTCAAGTGTGATTCCTCCAAGAAAAAGCGCCGGGGCCGCAAGTCACCATCAAAAGAAGTGTCCCATATCACTGCAGAGTTTGAAGTGGAGATGAAGTTGGAAGAAGTCTCAGGTTTGTGAAAGATCTCTGTCTAAGGAGAGAAACCATAATTCAGTTCCTCTGCATGTTAGAATCTTTTTGATGCTACTTCATCAAGCTGCCATGCAAAACTTTTAATACAAGCCTCATTCAACAGCTTTTCCAAACTCAGTTTCCAACATTTAATTGAAAGGAGTCAGGTATGAAATTATAGAATAAAGGAGCAAAGATTGCAGCAAAAGCCCCTCAAAGCCTGGAGTTAAGTTTTGTATTTCAATTTACTGTGATTTCTTCAGGTAACAGAAGTGTTAACTGATGCACAGAGAATGTAAAGATTAACTATAAGTTTTGTAATGCTGACACTAAAAATATCCTCCAAAATGTAAGTTGTTGGGAATCGAACATTTTTATTACACATTTGGTAAATTCATGTTTTCATAACAAACTTCAGGAAGAAAAATAATTGCTTCAAGTTATTCATGAGGTGAAATATTATGCCATAAAATCCAGCCAAAGAAAATGTGGGTTGAATTCTATAAACATGCCAGTACACAAAGGCAGGTTTCTTAACCTCTGAGGGGTATCTTGCTAGCCAAGTGGTTCAAAGTTACTGTGCCAGAAAGTACCTTTCTTTGTGTCATGTACATATTTTAGTCAGGGAAGTGGGGAGAATTCCTAATCAACTGAGTAAAGCATTGGCTGAGAAAATTCAGAAATAATAGTGATGTCAACTGGAACACATATCTGGAAATACAACACAGTGGGAAATGCACCATTCCTGTAACAGTGCACAAAGCACCAGTCACTGCTGCTCAGTACAGCACAGCGCAGCATTGCCACACAGTGCCAGCTTGATTATGCCGGTTAGACTGGTGTCTTCTGTAGCCTTCTCCTCTCCCTTGTGCACTCAGTATAACCAAATTTCTTAATGATGGAGAGAAGATCTGCACTCAGTGTACACTTACAGGCCAAGAAGCTCAGTTTGATAGATCACAGTGTGCTACTTGATATCCCCTGTAAAAGGCCTGATTTTGAATACAGTGATCTGCTTCTACAGTTTATGTGGAAAAGACAATGAAGCAAACAGAGGTGTCATGGTACAATGTAGGCTAAGGTTTTTGTTAAGCTCCTTTTTTTAAGCATGAATCTCAATTGCTTCTAGTTTTCTTATCATTTCCCATCTAGACACCTGTAACATTGACTGTGTTCGGAAAAGGATGGAGCAGAAGCTGCAAACTGCAATCAAAACATTGAGGAAATCTATTAATAAACAGCAATTTTACATTCAGTTTTCTGGGACAGAATATGAAGTGGCTCAGAAGCCAGCTAAAGCTACTGAAGGGCACGAAGCTTGCAGTACAGGGCAAGTGCTGCAGGATGGAAAATGTGGTAAGTCACAACAGCTCTGTTCAGCCATTCCCCAAAAACCAAGTAACCCCAAATTAATTTGTTCCTAGCGAGTCAGGCAGGAAATATGAGATAACAGATGATTTAAATTAATACTACTTGGTGTATGTCCATAGATCATTGAGGTTCTTAAGGTATCAAGAGGAGAATTCGTTAAATGATTGCAGGAAAACAAAATAAGCATGTACATACATACACTGTCAGTTGATATATATCAAGGCCTGCCACAAGCCTCTCTTGGTAATTATTTCCCACTTGCTCTCAGCATCTAATGAAAATACAGTTCTGTAAAGCTATAAAATTATGTTTGCCTAGGTGCTGTGTGTTTAGTTTGGTATTGTCTCTCTCATCATCACCAAATAATCTTATGACCCATGGATATATTTATGTTTAACACTCAAGAAATCCAATTAAAAAAAATCTATAAAAATCTGTTTAACTTTTTGTAAAATACCTAATTTCTTTAAGCTTTTTCCCAGGTTACCAGGCTCTAGAGCCAAGGTTCTAACAAAAAACTATTAATGGTAACTCCCAGCAGCACAAGCTTTTTAATTGCTTAGAATCATATTTTCAAAACCAGCATATCTGTTTTTCCAGCTGCTTTCAGGCACCAAGTCAGGCACAAGCAAAAAGGAGGAGTTAAATGCAGATTTGATAGGTACCTCTAATGAATTGTTTCAGAGGCTATTTTCATCATGCTGGAACTTAGAAGCTATTATTGAAAGACTGTTGGTGTTAGTGTCTACAAACCCATACATTTTAATTACCTATATCAAGCAGAGAAAAACATTTAATACAATTATGTGTCCTGTTGCCATAAGAAGAGTATGTGGATTCATATATACATATATATATACATATATATATATACATATATATATATATATATATACATACATATATAATGCCTACTAATTGGGCTATTTGAGTGTCAAGAAAGAAAATATTGCATGGGATACAGTGCCCTCAGAGTAATCTCTAGAACTGATTACAGGAGACAAATTTTTCTGTTGTCTTCTTCCATAAAACCAATACATAAATATACCTAGTATAAACAAAGAAAAATCACATAATTTCCCATACATTATAAAACTCTGTCTTAATTTAACTACAGTATACTATTTTCAGACTGCATCAGCTTTATTAACAACATATGTCTGATAGCGCTTCAGCATAGAACAACATCATTTGATAGCTTAAGCAATAGAAGGACCTTGCACTGATATAAATTGAGCTAGACCACAGATCCTAGATTGGCCTGTTTATATCAGGTGAGGATCCTGCCTAACATAGGCAAAAGTGCCACTAATAATACCGAGGCCAAAGAGACTCATGTTCTCTAAATGTTTGGGGTAAAGGCAAATGATATGATCAAAATTAAAGTCCTTATGCAGATTCCCCTTTTCTTTTCTCAGTTACCTGCAGCATGGGCACCTTTTATAGCGGAGAACATAATCAGTGCATTCCTTGCTCACCAGGAACATACCAAGACACAGAAGGTCAACTTACCTGTGAGCCTTGCCCAAGTAACGATGGACAGGGAGTAGCAGGCGCCCGGAATGTGTCAGAATGTGGAGGCAAGTTTAATTTGGTTATAAAAGGATAAGGTGTTGCCACACAGCCAGTGAGGCATGGAGGCTAAAAGAAGGGAGAGCCTTCCACATTTCTGTCTTGTAAAGGTAACAGAAGATATCTCTGTCCTCTTACAAGCAATACACAAAATGTTTTGGCTTGTTCCATCTGCTGACATGCTGGCATTGCCAACACGAAGATGGGACCTGCTGCTACAATGTGAGTTATGGTATGGAAATGAACAAGCCAAGAAAACTGCCTTGCTTCAAGTCAGGTATGGAATCTGGACAGACATACCTCGACTTGTAAGGACTCATCAGGTATAGTGTGAGCCAAAGGGATAGATTACTTTGGGCTGGTATTGGCAAGTTTAATGAATCTCCTGATTTAATGTTTTGCATGGGATGTAGTTTACCCAGTCTAATTGGCAGCAATCACAATTTTGAGATAGTGTGCTGCAAGGATCTGTACCTGGGCTTAAAGCTAATGACTACGAGTTTCAATGCTGCATAAATTCAGTGTAGCTCTTGGCAAGTGACGTAGCATCTCTGACTCAACTTAATGATATATAGATTAGATTTTAATGATGATAATCCCTGGTTTCAGAAAGGAGCTGTGATATTCAGTTTGTATTGTAAATGCTGCTACTGTAACTTGATCAGTATAAATATATGTGTTTTTAACACATCCCTGTTAATTATTTTCTCTATCTTATTTCACTACAGATGAGCAAAATCTAGTTTATAGCAGATATATTGTTTGACTTTGAAATAAATCTTCCTATCTGCTTTGCAAGTTCTAACTTTAAAACTCATTCATGTAATTTACATTAATGCTTGTTTCAAGGATATCTAGGGTAAATGAGCTGGGCTTGTTCAGCCTAGAGAAGAGGAGGCTCAGGGGTGACCTTATTGCTCTGTATAAGTACATTAAAGGAGGCTGTAGAGAGGTGGGGGTTGGCCTGTTCTCCCATGTGCCTGGTGACAGGACGAGGGGGAATGGGCTAAAGTTATGCCAGGGGAGTTTTGGGTTAGATGTTAGGAAGAATTTCTTTACTGAAAGGGTTGTGAGGCACTGGAACGGGCTGCCCAGGGAGGTGGTGGAGTCACCATCCCTGGAAGTCTTCAAAAGACGTTTAGATGTAGAGCTTAGGGATATGGTTTAGTGGGGACTGTTAGTGTTAGCTTAGAGGTTGGACTCGATGATCTTGAGGTCTCTTCCAACCTAGAAATTCTGTGATTCTGTGAAATGCACAATGAATGACACTTGAGAAATAGCCATTTTCCCCATCCACTGAATAAAAACTCTAGTGTCTCAAGCCAAACATATGGTAGATTTTCCTGATACCCTGCATGAAGGAACTATCACTGGAAAAATCTTGAAATGCCCATGCATCTTAATTATGTTGACTTTACTTAGCCAAAATCCAACAAGAACAGATTAACAAAATACAGTCTGAGTTTAGAAATGTTTGATATAGTATACTAACCAGAGCAGTGCAACAACTAGCAGGAAAAGACTGTTTTGCATCACAATTGGCAAGGCTTGCATTTAAATTTTTGTTCTGCACAACAAAAAGAAAGCTTTCTGGTTATTTTTTTCAGAGTGGATTTGTCTCAAAATATTTGTTGTCAGATCATAAGTCTTTTTCTCTGATCAACTGCCCCATTTTCTCTTTCTCTGAAAGTTGCAAGAGGATATCCTTTGGACTTCATGAATCTCCCTGTTAAAGATTTTATCAACAGTATAAAATGTTTCAGTATATGTAATGAAATAATTTGTTTTGATGAACATTGTCTTTGTTAGAAACCTCACTACCTGTCATTAATAGTGTTTTCTTGTCTCTTCTGGAGCAGTAAAGCCTTTGTAGTAACAAATAGCCTATGACTGAAATGCTCATCTACAGGTGAAGCACATACAAGCTTGTAAGAGACTTTAAGTGGCTGTAATAGAACCCTGTTGTAGCTGCAAGTGAAAAAGATGGTTTGATACCTAAGCTAAATGTGATCTGTGTAGACAGAAGCCCAAAACTTGATTAGGAAGCTGTTCATTTGGAGCATTTTTTCACAGAAAACAGATCAGATACATTTTGTAGGCAATTGCAATACAAAAGGCGTGAAGGAAACAACTTAGCTCATTTCTATATACATCTCCAGGTAAGGACTGAGACATATTAGTGCTGAAAGCAGCAGGTATTTAGCAGTATTAAACACCCTCTCTTTAAAAGGATGTCTGTAAGCCACATTTCACAAGTTCTTAATTTTCACGCTGAAATCACTGAAATCCAGATCCATATCCATTCTTCATTAACTGCCTTCATGTTAAAGTCCGGTGACCACTTGGACTAGACCAGGTCGATCAGTTTTGCTACAAAAAGAATAGCAGAATTGCCTTCAAATTAGCAATCTTATAATATGTCTCAGAGGTCTGTGTCACAGCAGCCAACTTGTACAGTCATATTCCAAGCCAGCTGGGATGGGTGTGAAACTAAACCCCAGAGATCCTGGTCCCACTGTTGAACTTAAGTTTGACTTTTGTGGGGACAGAACTTGAACTTTACATTTGCTCAGGAGTTCTTGTTCATCCTGAGCACCAATTACCCAAGATGCTGGAGGTCCTCAACATTTCCCAGTGTCAGGGTTGGTAAGAGACCCCAACCCCACCCAGGGCTCTCAAAACCTTCTGCTTTTTAAGTCAGTTGTTTCCGTTTGCTGTTCAGTTCTTAGGGAAGTTAAATTACAAAGTATCATCATTAGGCAACCTCAGGAAACACCTAACACATCTCAACATACTTATCTCCCAGGCTGGGGTGGTGTAAAGATATGTACTAATGCCATCATCCTGAAAAACTTGACATCCTGATTCACAGGTATGTTGTTGAGGAGTAAACTACTCAAGCTAGCAAGAACCAAGCCAAACAAACACCTATCAGAAATTGCCTGGAGAGCAAGTTTTGAAACTACCTTGTAGCTGTCAGTAGGTTCATCCACAAAGTGCCTTACTTTTCATAAACTGCCATTTTCTGGCAGAAGATCTTCTGAGAAACAATAGTTTTCACAGCTAACTAAAAAGCTGCTGGTGTCAGCTATTCTCACAGACAAGTTTCCAGACTGTTCCCATCCAGTTTGGCAATTGCCATGATGTACTATTTCCATATCTATAAGATAGAGATATAAAAAACAATGTCATAATTATGATGCAAAGATTCATTTTTTTCCTACAGAGCACTTTGAAAATTCTCAGATGAAAGAGTCTGTGCAAGTGCAAAGTATCAACATCTTAATAGAGCCCTTATTAATAAATAAATGATAATAAAACAAACAAACAACAACAACAACAAGGAAAAAAAAAAAGCAAAGAGTTGATTAAGAGAATAGTTCTATTTCCTGGCCCTGTTTTTAGGAAGCAATTACAGGAGCAATACAAACTCCATAGGTAAGATTAAAATTTGATCTGCAGCTGTCTTGATGATACATTTTTAGGGAAAAGAAAGCGTTGCTAACTATGAACTGTATTTATACTTTGTCCAGAAAAGTAGTCTCACTAATACAGATGATCATTTTCAATTTCTAGGGCAGTGTTCTCCTGGACACTATTCTTCAGATGGTTTTAAACCTTGTAGAATCTGTCCTCTTGGTACATATCAGCCTGAACCAGGAAGGACCCTCTGCTTTCCTTGTGGTGGAGGGCTGGTTACCAAGTATGAAGGTGCTGTTTCCTTTCAAGACTGTGAAACCAAAGGTGAATTTCAGATCTTTCTATGATTCATTTTCCTGCTGCTTACCCTTTTGTTTATAAGTTTCAGTATGAAGGGACTTTGAGTCTCCAAAACAAACATAGTCATTGCATGTAGCAACACTCTCTGTGATTAAATCAAGAAATCTGTAAATTTAGGCATGATCTCCTGAGATTGTGGAGACTGAGCTGGCTTTATGGTATTCTTTGGAATTTACCACAGGCACATATTGCGTCAGCACTGCAACTGGAAAGTAAATCAGCATCACTGCATGGCAAGAAATCAACTTGCATCAGAATGCTTTCTTTCTTGTCTTCCCATGTTGCCTATTTTTATTTACCAAATTAGAAAAACTAAACACTATAGAAATTATATGAAGTTGAGAGTTCTTTACAAATGGGCTGGACACAAACTGTAAGTATGCAACATGTGTGCACAATGATGACAGCCTCCAGTGCAAATAGTGAAGAAAGAATCTACCTAAATGTACTTTGGCTTAGTTACTTGAATTACATGCTGATCCTGGCAAACATACATAATGGAAACTTCTCTCTTGCTATTGTGAAAGACATTTTTGTCATTGAGGCAATATGTATCAGCTTCCATTTGTTATATACTCATCAGAAACCACTGTATTAAATACAGTGGAAGACATATGTAGCATGCGTTACTAGTTCATGAAGATTTAGCTGTAGTCTTCAGAACAGGATTCTAGTTAGAAGGTCTTTTGTAATTGGGAATAGAGTGAGCTGATGTCTTTTTTGCCTTTTATGGACTAGTAAGTATATTTCAGTATGGAATCATGCAGTATGTCCAGGGTAGAAGGAAGCTGTCTCTGCACTGAAGATTGTTACTTTCTGAAAATAATATATCTCATACTTTGCAGTTCATTGTTCTCCTGGACACTACTACAACTCCACAACACACAGATGTATCCGATGCCCTGTAGGAACATACCAGCCTGAGTTTGGCCAAAATTACTGCATCACCTGCCCTGGGAACACAAGTACGGATTTTGATGGCTCCACTAACGTTACACATTGCAAAAGTAAGTTGCATATGTATTAATTGTGAGGTGACACCTTTCTGTGGATCTGAACAGCAGCTTGAAGGTCCCATCTGTCATTCTGGAATCTAATTCTGTGTTTCTCAGAGAGCATATACCGACTGACATTTGGAACAGTAAAAATTGCGAAAGCAATGAGAACAAAACCTGGAAATGTATCACTTGACACATATAATTATTTTAGCATTAATGTAATTTTGTAGAGTGCCCTCTGTGAGTTATAACCATTGAGCTTTCATATTCCCAGGTCCCATAAGTTTTGCAGTTATGTGTATATGCTCTGTGACTCTGTAGAGCACGTCTTCTATCAGAGTAACTGCTACTAATCATTATAAAATAATAGGAGGTACAGTCATGCATACTTTTGTAAATGCCAGATAATTGCTTGTGACAGTGAAATCTTCTCGTAGGCTTTTTTTGCAGTAGTCAGCCTTCTATCTTCAGATATCATTTTAAGTATCTCCGAGGTTTCCAGTGCAATTTTATTTGATCTTTTGTGAATGACTGATTCTTCTAGGCAAGCATTTTATTTTCATGCCTACCATGCTAATTTAAGAGAACCTCAATATAATAATTAGGTAATGTCACCTAAATTAAATATTCATATGCAAGGCTACCATAAGTTTTTGTTCTGATTATGTGCTTGTCGTGGTTTAACCCGGCCGGCAGCTAAACACCACGCAGCCGTTCGCTCACCCTCCCCCCTCCCTCTCTGGGACGGGGGAGAGAAATGGAGAGTGAAGCCCGTGAGTTGAGATAAAGACAGTTTAATAAGACAGGAAAATAATAATAACAAAAATAATAATAACAATAATAATAATAATGATACAATGGTGATAATACGAAAGTAATAGTATGTACAAACAAGTGATGCACAATGCAATTGCTCACCACCCGCTGACCGATGCCCAGCCTAACCCCGAGCAGTCCGGCCCCCTCCCCCCAGCTAGCCACCCCTATATATTGTTTAGCATGACGTCAGATGGTATGGAATACCCCTTTGGCTAGTTTGGGTCACCTGTCCTGGGTCTGTCCCCTCCCAGCTCTTACTGCACCCCCAGCCTGCCCGTTGGCAGGACAGAGCAAAAGGCTGAGATGTCCTTGGCTTAGTATAAGCACTGCTCTGCAACAATTAAAGCATCGGGGTGTTATCAGCACTCTTCTCATCCTAAGCCAAAACACAGCATTCCACCAGCTACTAGGAAGAAAATTAATTCTGTGCTAACTGAAACCAGGACAGTGCTGTATACCTATGAAGCTCTTTGTCACTTCTAATGTAATTTGATAAAAAAAAAAAAAATAGGTAATAAGAAGAAATTTGAAGAAATTTGCTAATTTCCAGTAAAGTAAACACATCCACAGTCACTTTGCTGGCTTAGATATTTTCTGTTTTCAAGCCAGCTTCTGACCTTGCAGAATTTTTGAGGCTTGGATTAAGCAAGCAAAAATATTTAAACATTTATTTAGTTTTATGTAGATGTGTAGGCCTGGAGAGGTCAAGCTTAAGTAACTTGGTGAATCACACTTTTGCGGCAAATTCAATAGGAATTTTGAAAGCTCAGAATGCAAAACTGATCTGCCAAATGGGACTCTTTAGTAACTAGTTTAATCTAAAATAAAGCAAGGTAAATCTGTAATCAAGGTTACCTATTAGAATCATGCTCATTCAGCTAAATCAGGTTAAAAAGCATGTGAAGTTCAGTCAGAAAACCTGCATGTCAGCATGATCTCACTCGTAACAACTGTACCTCCACAATGGGATCAAGTTTACTTACCTGCATTGGTTTCTTAATCAAATGTCAAAACAGTGAAGACTTAAATCATTTTACACACTGGAGGTTAAGGTTTTATGAATCAGTTGAAGCAGTCCTGCAGATTGAGCATTTCTTTAAAGGCTTTCCATGCTAAACACACAGAGGCAGCTGAAGAAGGTATCCATTTCTAAAGCCACAGGGAGGAGTTTAGACTTGCTCTTGACAGACCTAGAAAAACACCTCAAATTAGCTAATCAGTTAATGCAAATACTGATTTATGTTTCTGCACAGACCAGCACTGCGGAGGAGAACTTGGTGATTATACTGGCTATATTGAATCGCCCAACTATCCTGGAGACTACCCAGCTAATGTTGAATGCATTTGGAATATAAATCCACCCCCAAAGAGAAGAATACTCATCGTAGTACCTGAGATATTTCTTCCAATTGAAGATGAATGTGGTGATGTTTTAGTAATGAGAAAAAGTGGTAAGTTGCCAGATATGGGCAACGTAAATATTTATTGTAAACAGACTGAGTGGAAAGTTTGTCTTGAAGGGATAACTGTCTTCATCTTCCCAGTGTTTCTGAAAGGACTGTTGAATGAACTGGCACAGCACGTTAAAACAGAATGCTGTACTAATAACAGTTAACACAGTGTTATTAATTATTCAAGTATCTTGGCTGAATCACAAAGCAGTTAATGGGCTTCTCTCTGGCCCAATTATCACGTGGGATAAATCACCACCAATCTAAAAGTCAACACAGCTATACTGTGTTATATTAGAAGAGAAATTTCCCGTCATCTCTATAAATTATGCTCTTAGTTATCCTTTGTGAGTATATATAAGTACTGTGGTTATTGCTGTGTCTGTGCAGTGACATAGGTTTGGTACATCTGACACCTTCAAAAAATACAGTTTTCTCAGTTCTGTGTGGAGTGGATATTGTGTTCTGTCTTTGATTACAAAGCTAATTCAACTACTTCTGAAGTTAAGACGCTATTGAGATGCATTTCTCCTGCAGTTCAGTGCAGGCATCCAGCTTTTGGTGATTTAATGTTAAATTTCCAAGATGCACCAAACCTGAAAGGCAATTGCTTATATGCAGCATTGTTTAAAACAGCATATTTTACTTGATAAAACAGCATATTTCACTTGCTAAAAAATTTTCATGACTTTTGTCCTTGAGCTTCTGTTGAGAGCTCTGTATATCAGATTAGTACAAGGAGAAACCTGCTCACTACAGATGGGAGGAAATTACTTCTGTCTAGAGCAATTTTTAAAAAGCAAAATATTGTAGCAGAACAAATTAGTTGTTCTTCTAATCCTGAATTGTAGTTCCAACAGTGTCTAAAGCAAGGCAGATGAGTGAAAAGTTTGGCTTCCGCTTGAGAACCAATAACAGTGCCACAGTATCAACGCTAGAAAATGAGTTTTTCAGAGCTGTGATTTGAAATCACTGTATGTTTAGCATTGTTAAAGTAGCCCTTACAAATATTTATCACAGTTCATGGAAGATCAGCTGCTAACATTACTGTTGAAAAACTGATTGCTGTTGAAAAACTGATTGCAGTTCCAGAGCAATGGATCCACTGGATTTAACCGCAATATTATGTGTGTATAATATAGTACGTTCTCCCCTGTATGGTTATGTTAAAGTAGGCCTCTCTCTAGCCCACTCATTACCCAGTCACATCACTTACACACACACAGGCAGAAGTGGGCTGAGGCAGGCTCCGGCTCTGTGGAACTGTTTGCACAGATCAGGTAAAAGCCATGAGCACAGTCCTCCAGCATGCTGTGGATGTGTTCAGCCCAAGTTACATGGGCAAAACAAATGAAAAGTGAACAGGGTTGTGGAGTTTATTCAGCTGTTAGCCTTGCTATATCACCTTAACTCTGCCACTTTTGTATAGTAAGAAGTAACTTTTAAAAATTAATTCACGCTAGTCTGGAACACATTAAAAACACTCACTGTACAGGTATGTTGCAGGGCAATACTATAGGTAGATCTAGTGTTGTTAGATAAGTTGGTTGGATATTGGCATTTTCTGTACCTGGACAGAAATAACACTTCAAAATTTCTACAAATCTTTAAGAAAAATAGAATTTGCATCTTCTGTCTGGCAAAGACTGTTTGTCTTTGGACATTGTAATAGTTACATCCTTAAGACTTCTTTATAAATATTGAAGTTTAACCTCAAATTAGTATAATCTTTACTCCAGAATTCATCCGAGATCTTATCCAAATTACATTCAGTTGAAAAGGTCTCTTTTTGCTAATACCGATGAAAGCTGTCAGCCTTAGCAAGTTCAGGTTTTAGATTAGGCTTGTTATTTTCCCTAATTATCCTCTGGCTATGGAGTGGAATTTTCTTTTCCTGGTTCCCAAACTGTCTGCTTTATTTCAGTATAGATAACTGATATTTTCTTTGCAGATTTATAGACAGATGTCTTTGTTCATTATGATAAAGGCACTTAGTCTCTGTAAGATATCACTTAAAATGCTATTAATTAGAACTAGCACTATAAGGATAGAATAGTATAGATAATCTCTAGATGGTGGGAACCATAGGCAGTGGTAGCATCAAGTGGACCTCTGATCCATACGCAGCATGCTGGGCAGACTCTGTGTGCAGAAGAGACTTTCCCCTTTTGGCTATTCAAACTATTATGGGGTTTTCTTACAAGAAAACAACTCTATCATAATTTCCACTGTCAAACAAAAACAATGTTCTCATGAAAACTTGTTGCTGCACTGCTAGATAAAGGCAAGGACAGGTAGGAGGCATTGTCACAAGTGCCCACTGGGAGCTGCATGCAGGCTTTTCTTACTACCAGGCACTGGCTGAGGTGATCCTGCAGCTACAAGGTTTGTGCAGCACAGTACAGACCTAAAGGCCATGCAGCACGTGCAGCACAGGCCTGGGCATAGGCACGTTAACTCTTCTGCAGGCAGTAATTGTTTGTTACTATCAGGTTAACTCCCCATACTGGAAGTGTTAGGAGCTGGTCACCACATCTGCCTGGGATGCAGCTGACTTGTTCTGGTGTATCTGGGGCCGATAGTATACAGAGTGAGTAATATTGATAGTAATTTTGCAAATATCAAAAACAATCCGGTACACCTTGCTGTCTACGTAAGCATCTTGTCTTGGGACAGAGGGAAGGATTTCCATTACCTTTGTGGGAAAACCTCCTTCCTCTCATAAACAGGTAAAGAGTATGTGCCTTCTATCACAAACATTTCTGCTCTTGGGAATATGTAAACCACAATGTTTTGTTAATTTGACATTTTTGACATCAAGATCAGGAAGGGTGCAAAAAGTTATTTTATAAAGAACATTTATTTATTTAATCTTTCCTAGCTTCTCCTACTTCAATTACTACATATGAAACATGTCAGACTTATGAGAGACCTATTGCATTTACTTCAAGATCAAGGAAGCTATGGATTCAGTTCAAGTCAAATGAAGGAAACAGTGGCAAAGGATTTCAAGTCCCCTATGTCACTTACGATGGTGAGAGTGGGATTGTTTTCCATCTTTCTGTTGTATCTGAATTGCACAAAACTGTCCTTTAGATAATCTCTCTTACATTGATGACAGGGAGCAAAACATGACCAAAAAAAAAAAAAAAAATCAATGTAACTTAGGTTTTCAGTGCATTACTTTCAAACTCTTTACAACTGGTTTAAATAATACCTAATTTTACACTTGTTATTTTCCTAATATTTGAAGAGCAGATGGCAAGTTACACAGAATTCTTTATAAACTTTATCCTTCTCCCACTGAGTTCAAAGAGACTCCCTTTAAGTGGTCATTTAGCATATGCATAACAAGAATACTCAGAATTTCTGTGCATTTCAGGAAGCCCCTTCATCAAGCCCTACTGGTAACCCACAAGATCATGAAAAGCATAAATTAATAAAATCACAGCTCCAACAGAGAAAAGCGATGGTGCAAGAGGATCCTTTCACTAAGGATTCATAAATCCAACGTGTCTTAAAACAGTCTTGCTTCTCATATAGAAATATACAATAAACTGTGTATTTTGTACTCCGGGATGATTATTTTAACACAACTAAGACTTTTCTGTGATACCTCAGGCAGCTGTTAGCCCATCTCTTTTCCAAACACCAAAGAAATTTTGGGAATGATAATAAAATCTGTATTAAGTTGGTGATTAGCATTGATTCAAGAATTAAAATGAGAGCTGTTCTCAGGGCAGACAACAGGGACAGTTCCTTACTGTGTCCTGGACTTCATGAGTAATCTTTGACAGTTACTTTCTACATGTGGCGCTGTTTCTTCATCTGTAAAATACAGATAATAAAGCATTATTATCTGGAGGGAGTAGTTTTCTGGGTTAATTTAGCTTACTGTTCAAAAGCAGTACAGAATTTAAAATTTTAATTAGGTAGGACTACAGCAGGATGAGAGACACTGAATAAAGAACTGGATACTAAATTTCTCAGCTCTGCATTGAAGAGAAAGTCTAGTTAATCAGTGTTTGGCTATTATCCACCCATAGGATGTCACAAACAGTCGCTCACTGATGTTTATTTTTCAGAGGATTACCAACAACTAATAGAAGATATTGTTCGAGATGGACGATTATATGCATCAGAAAATCATCAAGAAATTCTAAAGGTACTAAAATTCTGCTTTAGCTGAGGCTAGCCAAGGATTCATTTCACTAAATATTTTCCCAACATAGATCTCTCTACCCTGGTAGGATCATAATATTTGAAGTTTACATGTGATCCCGAATTAAATTATCTATCTTCTGAGGTTTATGCTGGTATTTGTAGTAACAAAATCAGTAGCTCAGCTGGGCTGAGCTCATCTACATCCTCTGCTGAATCAGGATCTAAATGAAATATATGCTACCATGATTGTATGTTAGAATAATTACTCAAACAAGAATAAAAAACCTATTGTTTGAAGAGTCTTCTTCAGCCTCAGTCTAAAATTTGTTTAAATGAGTCATTAAGTTAGAATTTCCTGTGCATTAAAAAATGTATCTACCTAAACTTTTGTCCTGCCTTCACAAGGTACAGCCATAATGTAGCATTGCAGGCTGTCCATGAAATGATTTTCAAAAGATATAAGCAACAAATTGGAGAGAATTGTGGAGAAAGGCTGCTGGGCTGGGTTGCCACCTATAACAACTAGTTAATGAAAATCTATTTTTTTTAAAGGAAAAAACAGAAGGCCAAATTCAGCGTGCTAAATGTGTAGTTTAGAAGGAGAGGAGCTGATTAACAGCCAGCTCTCCTGGCCATCCCTGCTCCAACCCTGCAAGTATTCACTGACTGAAGTTTGGAGGTCACTCAGGTTTCAACTCCTGTGCTGAGAGACTCAGGCACAGGCTCAGCTGATTCTCTGAATCAAGGTTTTACCAAAGTGCAAAAGGTCTTTAAAGAGATAAATGTTGCTGGAGACCAGCCTTCTCTTACCCTTATGGAGGAAAGGCCCTGAGCAACAGCATTAAAGAGTCTGGAAGAGCAGCCAGAGGTAGCTTGCAGTGCTAATGCCAATCTTCTACAGCCAGTTTGTGGTTAACCCAGCCGCTACCCACTCAAAAAAAAAAAAAAAAAAAAAAAAAAAAAAAAAAAAGGCACAGTAGACAGATTCATCAGTGTAAAATTCCACACAACATTAAGTACTTTCCTTATATTGCTTTACCCAGAGTCCAGTTTTGCAAAAAGAAAAAAAGGATTGTTGTTCATTAATTTTAAAAGATGTACAGAAAAAAAATCCAAACAGTATTTTTATCTAATATGTATGCTGTCTCGTAGGACAAGAAACTGATTAAAGCTCTCTTTGATGTACTGGCACATCCACAAAACTATTTCAAGTACACAGCACAAGAGTCAAAAGAGATGTTTCCAAGATCATTTATAAAGCTACTGCGATCAAAAGTTTCCAGATTTCTACGACCGTACAAATAGTGGTATTCAGTTTGGGGTTATTTTGCATTCTTGTTGAATATTATCTCTCCTCCGTAGTAGAAACATTTGGTAATTTGAAGGCTCTTTTTTGCAGTCTTTATTTTCAGTTGTATATTTAAGAATATCTACAATGTTTTATAATTTTTAAAAGCCAATGTTCTAAATGAAATTTTTACTACAAAAAAAAAAAAATGTGGATCCCTGAGTGCATCTAAGTTGAAGATACAAATTTGTGTCTGCACTAGTGTATCTTCACTTTCCATTCAAAACTATATCATGTGGAAAATATTCTTTCTATATTTTTATTTTTCATTCAAAAGTAGTTTTCTGCAAAGCAAATAAGGCATCTATTCAAATCTGATTAAACTACCTGTCGATAAGTTCTGTTGTAGAAATGAGTATGTAGTATAAATAATACTTGGATTTTGAATTGCACTTGAAGTTTATATCTGAATCTTTAGAAGAAAACAAAACAATCTAAATTTCATTATTTCTCATTTGTGGCTTAGTAGAACCTCTGTCCAAGTAGAAATCAAAATGTAAGAAAAAAAAAAAAAAGGAAAAAAAAAAGAAACAGATGTTTAATTTTGTTTTATGAATTAAGTACAATTGAGTCCCACATCCTAACATTTTATCTGTCCTCTTCTAAACTTTTTCAGAGGTTTTCCAACTGTTCGCAATAGCGTTGAAATGGATTGAGCGAATGAATTCTACACAATAGTTTGTCCCTTTGGAGGCAGTTAAAATAGGATAGATGAGAAAGGAACAACAGCAACAGTAGTAGTGTTCATTTTTTATTTCCCTTATTAGAGCATCTAATTAACTACAATATATAAATATATAAATATATACTTCTATTTGTGGGTACATTATTAATGTTATCTTCAGTTACTGTAAATATTATTTGTGCTTAAATCTTTACTCCCACACACACTATTTACTCACATCTATTTGTAACTTTGCTTAGACGATTAAATGACTTCTCCAAGTGCTTGTCACTTCCGTTAACACCAAACTGAAGCCTTCTGGAGTTTTATAACACAGGATGATGGTTTACTTTGGGGCGTTCTCTTTTAACATATTATTCCAAGAAAATTAACATCTACTTGGAAGCAACTACTGTGCAGTAAAGGGTCAGTTATTTCTTTGGCACCCCTCACACGCAGACCAGCAGAGTTACTCCTGAGGACAGCATGCTTGTGAGGAGCTTACTAAGGAGGAAATGTTAGATCTGCCAGCTCAAAAATGCTGAGAACATACCTCTGCCATGGGTAGAGCTCCAAGGGGGCAGTGGGGGGGGAACAAAGTTTTGAACCCCGGTTAGATGAGTTGGAGGTCAGGCCCTGCAGGCATCAGAGACCTAATGCTCCCTTTTATCACAAATTTGCATCCACAGTCCTCAGAAAACATGAGGACTGTAGTCTGCAAAATAGCATTAGCCTTGTGGTCAGGCCTTCCTCAGAGTGACAGGTGCCTGGGTGCCAAGACAATGATAAATACTGATTCCTTCTGTTTCCTGACACAGAAGCTAATTTCAGTGAGAGAGCAACCTCTTTATTTTCAAGTCCCTTCCTCCTTTGTATCATTTTCTTTTCTGATCCTACAAGTTTATGACATGCATAAATTAACTATCATGCCAACATCCTTTCAGAAAGACTATTATAACTTTTTTCTTATTGTTTTTTTGTTTGTTTGTTTTTATCTCTACCCTGTAATTTAAATTACCCTTGGATGCTCTCAAAGACATACATTAAGCGTTGTTACAGTTAACTTTTGTCTTCAAGCAAGTGCTGTTTAAGTTTACAAAGTTGTTTTCTGTTGGCTACAACTGGTTGAATATGCCATTTCTAAGAGATACCTTAAATATTTTGTTGATTTTTTCTGCTTGGCTATCTTGTATTTTTGCTTGCCTTCTTTCCTCTTCTGTTGAAGAAGATTTTTTTTTTCTGTGCCTAAATGGTTTCAACTTAGTCTAACAACTCAGTTTTCTCACTTGTGGATCTGCGGTCTTTGAAGAGCTTTGCCTTTAATCTCTATATTTATATATTAACCTTTGCTTCCAAACATAACAGCTCCATACAGATTATATTTTAAAGGCTGTTAAGCTTCCTCTTTAGATCAGGGCTGAAAGTAACTGCCCTAAAAGGTCCATAAACCGCTGGCAGTACTGTAATATTTTTCACATTCTTATCTGCATGAGGAATCCATATAGCAACTACAACACAGGCTTGTCCTGGTTGTGGCCACTGTTACTGGGACCTTGGTATAGCTGTGAGAGGTGAATACAGAAAGAACTAGCCTTGTTTTGCTCTGGTACAACTCACCCTCAATTACAACCATGTTAGACAAAAGCAATGTTTTGTCTAGTTCATCCTGAAAGACAACTTCAGATGTGTGTGTTACCTTATGCTCCCTGGAGCCACATGAGGGCAAGGACTCCACAGTCAGGACAGAGCACTCAGTGACTTCTGTAGCAAATGCAGAATTTGTATTGCTGAGAACAGTGAAAGAGATTAATTTAGCCTTCAAAATTATACAGTGAAATGCTTCTAAATACATAGGGATTTCACAAGCCAACTTTGAATGCATGCAGCACAGAACTACCATTGAATATGCAAATTTATCATTAAAAAAAAATAATGGCAAGTGGTATATAGGATCTTCTGAACCAATTTCAGCTGATTTTTATGACAGCACATAATTTTTACGTGAACTCTAAAAGTGAAAAATGCTTTGACAAACCTTATCCAAGAATATCTTAACAGTTTCAGAAAGACATAAGTATTTTTCATACTAGATTTACAGTTACAGAAATTGGTATTCACCAAAGAGAAGGTGAGCTGAGCTCTTCATTTGTTAATGTAGTGGAGGGTGTTTTCACTGTAAGAAGTTAGAGAACATATTGCTACTATATGATAATAGCATAACAACAAGGAATGTCATTTTCTATGGAAAAGACTTAGATAAATTTAGCAATCAGAAAACACACAAGGTGAAACACTGCTTTCTTTATGAAAACTAGCTTTCTGGAATGAATTAACACATAGCAGAAATTTTTGCCTTTTACCCTAAATGTGAAATAGTGCATTTAAACATATTCAATAAATACCTATTTCTATCTATTGTTGCAGAATTTCACGTTGTGTCCAGGATAGGTTCAATAACACAGTTGTGCTATTCTGGGAAGGCTGAAGAGGTGTCCATTGGTGATCACCCAACTCTACATCACAAACAAGCCAAGCTTTTTATTTTCAATTTGCAAATGCCTATATCCTTAAAAGCTGCACCTGTAGCACTTAGTATTTTAATCCTCTCCTCCTGCTTTAAATACTGCACTTATTCTTAGCGAGGTGGTAGTGAATCATCCCTAAGCATTCTTATGTGCCACCAAATAACAGCCTGCACACCTGCTGCTATCCGGGAGATTGCAACAGTCAGATGTCACTAATCAAGCCCTAAATCATGCATGAAAGTGCTTGCTAGTGATTGCTGTAAGCGAGGCACTTGTGCCTGTCGCCTGAGTACAGGGAGCACTGGGATTTTGTGCTTAGTAGGAGATTGCTGCCTACATCTTGCCTGCAACAGTAAGATTTATACTGCCTGAAGATTTAGGTCCCTGAAACTGGGTTTAAAGCCACTAAAGTCTTCTTTCAGCCCGTTTTCCTGCCCTGCCTTCCTTCCTCTATCATGTATTAGATTTTTACCTGATGACTGACTTTTCAAAAGAAAGTTATTTCCTTATTGTGCCTCCCACATACAATAAAGTTAAATCACAGTGTGTTAGACATACCGAAGATTTAGACCAATCTCTCCTATACATCAGCCTTGCATTAGCTTTAAGTAAGCTTACTAGAGTAAGCTAATTTTAGCTTTATGTCGTTTTAGACCAACATAAGTAAAGATAGGTCTGGTTGCAGAGCTTTCAGAGTCTGCATTTTGATTTGTCATATGTTTTTTAAAGAGAACAGCTAATCTGTAGACCTCTGTCTATATGCAGAATGAACAGATTATGCCACATGAACAAGAATCATGCTTACGTGCATTAAACATTCAAATAAGAAAGTCAAACCTCACCCCATTCCCCTTTGTGTGTCCAACAATTTCAAATTTCTCAGATCAGTCTTATGCACAAACAACCCAGTTTTAATCTCGTAGATAACAAGTTCTAATCTTCAAGAGCAGAAGCATTGGTATGATTCTGGTCTGTGACAGCATCCATGTCTGGACTCTAAATACCATTGAGTGCTCTTAAAAAATGAAGTTGCAGCGAAATCCTCAATAACTGAACTCAGTGGCGAATTCCTCAGCCACCTCAGGGGTCTGGGTTTCCACTTTTCTGCATGATGGTAATGAGCAACATGCTGTTATGTGTACTTGTGTCATGATTTCGAGTAGTTGCATTTTTTTCCATAATTTAAAACCACTCTTTGACAGGAATGGTAGTAACTGGAGAGGTTCTATAGACTCTCAATACTTTAAGACATTAATAAAATAGTTTTCTAGGATGAGACACTGTTTTAAGCACTTGCAGGGAATTAAAAAAAAAAAATTGTCTCCCTTAAGAATTTATGGAAGAAAGGAAATCAATTTCTGTAAGGTAATATAAACTTATTCCTTGGTATCAGACTTGAATTCAAAGAGAAGTCTTGTGTTTTATTCTAACACTTTTCATCTGAATAGAAACAAACTGGGAAAAAACTCTTAAAGTAAAAAAAAAAAAAAAAGTTATATAAGTATCTGAATATATACAATTCCAGTTTGTTATTTCATTTATTTATTCTGTTTCATCACTAAACTTTTTAATCTATAAAAGTAATATGTAATATACAAGAGTAAAATGTACAGAAGTACCTTTAGATGTAATAATTTAAACCATCAGTATTCAGAAAGGTGAGGTAAGTTCTAAAGATCTACAAACAACTGCAATTCAACTTTAGCTGAATTTATCAATATTTAGGAAAAGAAGTGGCTTTGCTTAATTAAACTTTATTTTAATGATTGTGAAAATATCTTTTTAGTTTGTTTTTATTACTTTTTTAATTAAAATTATTTTGTAAATATTGTTTTCTATGTTTTATACCTTAGAAAGGCCACTAATTTGTATTGACAGCAGCAGATACTTAACAGATGATTTAAAAGGTACTTACACAACACTGGCATGTGGTTAGTACCAGATACATCCTTCCAGACTACTGCTTTTCTTATTTCTGCAATCTCACTGGCATCAAAGAAAAAATTTCTGGGGCAACTTAACCTGCTGATTTTCACAGAATTGACTATCAAGTGTCATTCTGAAGTGCTTACCATTTTCACATCACATAAAGAATATGTATTTTAAAGTTAGTGCTAGTTCTTACTAGAGTAAGAAACAACATGAAATTCAGAAATAAAAGGGAATTCAAATGATTATCACCAAATATAGCATAAAGACAAGGAAAGGTATGGTATCTCTGTGCTCATAGGTAGCAATGGAAGTGATAAAATAACATACTGGATGAGATCATGAGCATTTTTAGGCAAAATTGTCATTGAGATCTGTGGGATTTTTACCTACATTAAGTTCAATATGATCGTATCCATCATCTATTAAGCAGGAATTTCTAGTAGACTAGATTTTGAGAAAAATACCTGGATACATAATATTGATTTCTGTACCAATTTGCTATGTCTAAATCACTGGTCATGAGTGACATTTTGAACTAAGCCCTTGTAGATGCTGCTGGGACTTCTAAGCTTTATTATCAATGTAAATTATGTATAAACAGCTATTCCTGTATGAAACATACCATGGTAGTTTAGAGCAAAGACAGTGAATAACTGTACAAAATTTGATACTTAGAAACTAAAATACAGTGATCTAAGCTTTACCAATATTTTAACACTACTGTCAGATTTGTAGTAGAAAATGTTGTTGTAAATGTACCTTATAATAAAATACATTTCCTTTTTCCTCTGTATATTAATAGCTTTGTTTTCTATGTCAAAGCTCAAAATGAAGCATGTAATAAAAAAATTGTTAAAATCACTTTCATAATAAACATTAAATGGAAAAAGGTATCTTCACCTGCCATTTTATTCATGTATGTGTAAAAGGTTGATTTAAAGATGAAAGCCGAAATTTCCTTAAGTGGTATATTCTTTATTGCAGCACTGGATGCATGGGGGATCCTTCCACCTATCGTGCATGTTCGAAGTGACAAAATATCTCATATTTATACAGCGAAACAATGAATATTCAATTAGCACCATACATATTCATTACCTAACCCCGCCTACCCTCGCTTCGTATGCTAATTAGCTTATCAGTCCTTGCGCTTGCGCAAAAGTCTTCCAAGAATTGTGGGCCGGGGTCTCCATGATGTGGGCAGTGGTCTTTGGGAGGAAGGCCGTAGGTCTTCCTCGTAATGCACTTTTCACCTTTGCTTAATCAGTTGTTTTCCAAGCTGTAAAAATGCTGAGTTGGCTTTCAATTTAACTGAGGGTCCGCAGATAACAGGAAGTCTCAGTTAACAAGACAAGACAATTGACTCAAGTTATCTCAAGTCTCAGCCTGATTAACGGTTAACAGATACTGGGATGTTTTCAAATAACAAGATGCTTAAACATAACAAAAGGTCTACAGATAACAAGATGTCGTTTACTTTGTCCTTGCTAACTTTTAACCACAAGTTTTATTCTATCCTAAAGTGAGTTTATACTATATCAGGTATATGAGGTATATGTACCACACACCAGCGTATTATAAACAAGCATCAGAAGAGAAATCATCTTTTTGATAAGATATTTCAGTCTAATTTGCATTTTTATGCAACAGAGAGCTTTTTCTTTTTTATCAAACAACTGGAGCATATGAGTGCTGGAACAATGAGTTCCTTCCAAACAGACTTCAAGGACAGTTATGCAAAGCAAGAAGAAAATAGAAAAAGTGGAAAGTAGAGTCTCTGTAGTGACATCAGTAGCTCAGTTAAAATTATTTAAAAAATCTTTTGCAGTTCAGGACGTGCAAATTGTCATTAAGGTGTGTGAGAAACACTCTGTAGCCAATGACTTAGGCTCAAGGGAGGATCTCAGTGAAGTAGTAATTTATTTGCAATTGCAATGGCAGACGCCCCACAAACAGAAGAGCGCACCTACTAGTTCCATAACACAGTTTATATACTTGTTTTCCTCCAGCACCAGGACCGGGGCCCTTCTCTGTTTCCCCATTGACTGGGGTAATCCAGGTTCACAATCTATCCGGTGCTTCACAGACAATGCTTTCAGGTGCCAGCCGTTTATAAGTCAATTATTTTTATTTTTTTTTACTTTTATACTCTTTGAGGTGGTAATGTTTCTTACACGGTGATTTCTGCCTAATTTCTCTAAGGGTTCTGGTTGTCTGCATTTTACAAGGTAGTCTTGTAGGAATAGAAATGTTGTTTTTGCAGAGTTACATTGTTTAGAAGGAGGGAATGTGGTACTGAGATATGCTTACAGTGATAAGAAAGTTTAGCAGGCGACCTAGTAAAATGCAGACAACCAGACTCCTTAGGACAATTAGGTGAAAATCACGGTGTCAAGTCAAGTCAGATAAGTGAAGAAACATTACCACTTCAAACAGTAAAAATGTCAAAAGAAATTTGAAATTTAGCAGGCCGGCAACTGAAGGCCATGCATTGTTTGTGAAGCATCAGATAGATTGTGAACCTGGATTACCCACTCAGTGGGGAAACAGGGGAGGGTCCTGCCATCAAAAGGTATATAAACTGTGTTTTGGAACTAGTAGATGCGCTCTCTCCTGCTTGTGGGGCGCCCGCCATTGCAATCGCGAATAAATTACTACTTCACTGAGATCCTCGCCTGAGCCTAAGTTATTGGCTACGGAGTGTTTCTCACAGTCTGCCAAGTTTTGTTATCACTGCAAGCATATCTCAATACTACATTCCTTTGCTCTAAACAATGTAACTCCACAAAAACAACATTTCTATTCCCACAATCCCCCTCTTTTCTTCTTTATAAACTGTTGATTTTTGCAAAACTTTTCTCTTAAGGTGTAATTTGGTAGATATCTTCCTCTTCTTCACTTTCTTTGCTTTCCATCTCCTCTAATATCATCATCTTATCTGAGTAGGGTGGTGGCTCTGTTATATATGGAGTGGTAATTCGTGTTGAGAAAATGGTTGATATTAATAAAGAAGGGGGAGATTTGGGAGTGTGGCCATGGGGGTTGGAAAGCCCCATGGTTGAGGTAACATTAGACTCTTAACGACAAGGCCATCAGGAATATAAAAGAGTTTAGAGGGAACAAAGAAGGGTGATTCAGGAGACTTCATGCAGTCTGGGGTTTCTTGTTCTCCAGATGGTTCTCTTGTTCTCCAGCCCTTAAGGCATGGATGTTTCTGGGTGTTTGCTGTTGTTGTTACATTCGAAGTTGTTTGACCAATGAAAAGTTGTTTTGAAAAGAACTGCTGTGGAGAGAAAGGTATAAGAGGGGAGCCTGCCCTCAAGATAAAAAGAAGAAAAAGGCAACACCATGAAGTTACATCAATAAAGAAGCAGGAAAAAGAAGTGAAGAGGAACAGGCTGGCAGAACAAGGACCAGGATGGGAACAGGCACTTTGATTGCCTCATGAAGATAGGTTCGGCCAAACTCAGCAAACTGCTCAGAGAAGCTCATACAGAAAGTCACTGGAAACAGGCGCACAGGAGCTGGAGAGAAGCTCAAGCTGAGAGAAGAGGACCTGAGCACACCACTGCCTCTTGCTGGTAAGCAGTTGTGCATTATGGGGAATCATACGTCCTTAGGAACAAAGACTGTCCTGGTAGCCTTACAGCTTATTCTCCTTATTAACAATCAGACAGTTTATGATCCTGAAACAAGGGATCAAATTGAGGTCAAGGTGTGGGACTCTGCAACTAAAAATGACAAGGTTGCAGTGGGATTGCTCGGCACCTGGCGAGCAATCTCTGAGGCCTTAAAGAACCATGTGGAGCCACAATCACAAACATGTGGTTTGCCAGATAGTGAGGGAGCTGCGGGCTCCTTTACTGATCCGACTGCTATGCCATCGGCCCTTCTGCTGCCACAGCCATTGAAGGCTTTTGCTGTTACGCCCCCTGTTGACATAAACGTACCTTTTGACCCAGGCCCTATTGGCCTTGAAAACAAGATGGATATGCTTTTCTTCGATCCGGGAAGAATAAGATACATAAGGCCCAAAGACCGAGTTGCTTGACAACTTAAAGCAAGACATATTGTTCAAAAGGAATGGAAAATGGAGTCTTTTTTGTAATCAGGAAAAGGAATGGAAAATGGAGACTCTTAAGTCATGGAACTTAAAGGATTGTTACCTGTTCTGGTTGTACACATATATAGGCATACTCGAGTTTAGTAAGTCATGGAACTTAAAGGATTGTTTGTTAGCTTTTCTGATTGTATAGGTTAAGATTGAGTTGAGACGTCATTTATAACACCAGGGTGAAGGGTATAGCTAATTGAACAAGTGCACAAGTGCCTCCCCAATTAGATGGTAGGGTGGACCGTAAGATCTTCCCTCTGTGAGAAACACTCCGTAGCCAATAACTTAGGCTCAGGCGAGGATCTCAGTGAAGTAGTAATTTATTCGCGATTGCAATGGCGGGCGCCCCACAAGCAGGAGAGAGCGCATCTACTAGTTCCAAAACACAGTTTATATACCTTTTGATGGCAGGACCCTCCCCTGTTTCCCCACTGAGTGGGTAATCCAGGTTCACAATCTATCTGATGCTTCACAAACAATGCATGGCCTTCTGTTGCCGGCCTGCTAAATTTCAAATTTCTTTTGACATTTTTACTGCTTGAAGTGGTAATGTTTCTTCACTTATCTGACTTGACTTGACACCGTGATTTTCACCTAATTGTCCTAAGGAGTCTGGTTGTCTGCATTTTACTAGGTCGCCTGCTAAACTTTCTTATCACTGTAAGCATATCTCAGTACCACATTCCCTCCTTCTAAACAATGTAACTCTGCAAAAACAACATTTCTATTCCCACAATTCCCCCCTTTTCTTTTTTTATAAACTGTTGATTTTTGCAAAACCTTTCTCTAAGGTGTAATTTGATAGATTTCTTCTTCTTCTTTGCTTTCTTTGCTTTCAATCTCCTCATTTTCTCCTTATCTGAGTAAGGTGGTAGCTCCATGGTCATTTGTTTCAATAGTGCGGTTTCAGTTAACCACTGTACTAGTCCTCTTACACAGGGGATAATGCAGCAACCAATGGCTGTCAAAACTCCTACAACTATGATCAAGGATGTAAATATGCCTACTTTTTCTGCCAATTCACTGGCAAGGGTGGTAAGCCCTTGCAATGCTCTTGTTACCGAGCCATCTGGGACACTATTGTTGGGTATAAGAGTGCAACAATGGTTGCTCAGTATTACACACACAAACACACCCCCTTCCTCTGTGAGCATCATATCTAATGCTATCCTGTTTTCCCAAGCCATTTTGCTGATAGCATCTAGTTGTTCAGAGATTCCTCTCATCACATCCTTGGTATAATTGATGAATCTCTGCTGATTATAATAGAAATAATTAATTCAATCCACATTTTTATTGATTGTTACCCACCAGAACAGTGACTCAAACCCTGCAGCAATTTGATTTCTGGCTTTATGTTCATCTGGAACTCCTCTAGGTACCCCAATAGAATCTATGTATACTCTATCATCAAATGATATTCCTAAGCCTCTTTTACTTCTGGGTATTTGTGATGTTTCTCTTTCAAATGCCAGGGTGAAGGGTATAGCTAATTGAGCAAGTGCTCAAGTGCCTTCCCAATTAGATGGTAGGGTGGACCGTAAGATCTTCCCTCCACCATACCACCAGAGATCTGCCCTGGGGATCTCTAGTCTTGAGCAGTTTCCCATCAAGTCCTTGGTAGCACAAGGCAAATTCTCCCAGATGCCAGGTAGCACTCACACCCTGCC